CCACAGTCTTAACTTACGAAATATATCCACATTCATCAAAGTTAACAAAATATATCTAGATTTATGCAAAATTTGCTAAAGCAGTTTTTTTTCTTATCCTTGGAGACAGTTTAGGATCAAAAAAAGATTTAAATAACTTTCAAGGAGTAAGGTGGTGGCCAGTTTAAAATGCAGTGGGAAGGGGTAAGGCATTTGTTCTGAAGCCTGTAACTTCTGAGGCATCCTGCAAAAATGAGTGCCCTCCTGAGCCTGTTGTATTTTGTAAAATGGGATGTGTCACTGACATGTAGTGATGATCACTGGAATTAAGCCCTTAATCCTACTAGTTCATCCGTAGCTAAGCACTAGATCCCTCACACGGATCAATCTCCACAAGGTCCTACAGATTTTCACCACAGGATCACTGCTGAAGGAGCACTGATGTTTGTTGTATGAGCAACACAACAGAAGGAAGCATGGCCAGACTGGTACTGAGAAGAGGGAGTGACAATGCGGCAAACATACAGCATGAGGACAAATATGCAAAGACACAGCCCACCTCTGTGCGCTCAGTTGTGCAGAGCAGTTGCTACTTCAATTTCCGTGGGCACCCACCACTGCTCACTCTCATGTAAAGAATTTATTTTGTTTTCTTGCAGCAACACCCTTGATCAATACCACTTTAAACCAGGTTTCCTCTGTGGGTCTCCTTATTGCTACATACATAGATTATGTCTACACTCTTTAATACACAGGAAATACAGCTCTGGGCACTCTTCTTCATGTGTATACATAATCTTACTATTCCAGGAAAGAGATTAGCACTAACACCTGACATCTATTGCTACAGATTTACTACAAATCATCCTAATAGTTCTGTCTTGTAACAATGTCACAACTCAATTTATATCGAGTCCTGGTGCAATTTGGACATTGTGATGTTTGACACAGTGCATGACTTGCTTCTGTTACTCACCCAATGCCGTCACCATACAGTTCAGCCCACACACTCTCTTCCCTGCAGGACTTTCTGTCTTTTAACCCCTCTCACCGAAAACAGGTTATAGGTGTTTTTCAGAGCTGGTCAGTGTTGCTCAGAAGCAACAGGCACAAGGAAGACACTACAGTTGCCATCGTGAATGCTCTTTTCAGATACAGCTTACCAAGACCTAAGGAGTAACTGCTAAAGATGCTCCTTCCACATTTTTACTTTGTTTAGAGTTGCCCTGACACAATTGTGTGTCTCACTTGGGATCCCTTAGGAGCCAGATTAAACAGAAGTGGACATACATCAGACATACAAAATAAAAGCATGGAGATGGCCATACAATATTTAAAAAAAAAAAAAAAAAAAAAAAAAAAAAAAAAAAAAAAAAAAAAAGGAAATTAACTCATAGACAAAATTATGCATCCTGAAAATTGGTTTCTTTTCTTGCTTGTCTCTTTTTGCATCTGGCTTCTCAAGAGTATGATTGAGAAACAGGGAAGTGAATGTCAGAATTTGCAAGCAGAGAATTATGCCTCTGTGGATTGAAACAAAATCCGTATCACCCATGGGGAAGAGGAAGAAGAGAGAAAGCATATACGCTGTGGCAATAACAAAACACCATTTTGAAAACATTACCCAAGACAGCTATGTACTTACTGTTTTGGCCCAGCCAACTTACCTACTGTGTGCTTCCCCAGACAGTTATTGCACTGGCTTCTAGCCATATGCCTCTGATAAAGTGCACTTGGAATGAAACAATTTTGCTTCCAATATAATCTCTTCTACTCCAGAAGCTGTCCTACAGCAATTTGCTACAGCAAGTTAACATGGATTTTCTGACATAGCTACAGAAGATGCAGTCAAACTACAATCAAAACATCATAGAAGAAAGTTTGACAACAGGTATTACAAAATTGGAAGGAGATGCAAGGTAAAGGCATATTTTACAAATACTTTTCATGTCACCGCTGTGACTGCAACTGTCATGGGACCACACCTGCAGTGGTGCATTCAGCTCTGGGGACCCCAAAATGAGACCTGGACCTCTTGGAGCAAGTCCAGAGGCCCACAGTAAAGATCCCAGGGTTTGAGCACCACTTCTCCTCATGAGGACAGGCTGAGAGAGCTGGGCTTGTACAGCCTGGAGGAGACTGTGGAGACCTTATAGCACCTTTAAGTCAGTACCTATAATGGCACATAAAAGAAGGCTGGAAACGAAATTTTTAAAAGGGCATGTAGTGACAGAAAAAGTGGTGATGGGTTTAAGCTAAAGAAGGTATGTTTAGATTAGCTATTAGAAGACATTCCTTACTGTGAGAGTGGTGAGCTGCTCTAACAGGTTGCCCAGTGTAGCTGTGGATGCTCAGTCCCTGGAAGTGCTCAAGGCCAGACTGAATGGGTCTTTGAGCAACCTGGTTGGGGGGATGGTGGAACTAGATGATCTGTAAGGACTCTTTTAACCAAAACCATTTTGATTCTATTATCAAAGCTGTTCACCCAAAAGGGATTAACTAAATTACTGATGGATTACTCATGTATAGCTAATCACTTCAAATTTAAGTTACCTGAGTGTTACTCCGCTATGGACGGACGGACTGAGATGAAAGATGTGTCTCCTAGTAACTACCATCTTCACCATAAAGTCTCTGGCTACCAACACTATGAATTTTTTTCACCAAAAATTAATTTCCTTTGTCCAGCTCTAAAATCTTACTGCTTGTGTGATCAGACCATCAAAACAGATGTCAGTTGCTGTTTTGCTGATAAACAAACAGCTTTTATCTGCAGGATTTCCTTCTAATAAGTACTCTTCCCAGAACATGAAGGCCATACAATTTTAAGAAAATTCTTACCTAAAACCTCCTCTGGAATTAATATTTCTCCAAAGAGTGACTGTTCTGGAAAAACTTATTAGTTTCATATACCATTCTTTTTCTTTGTAAAGCAGCAAGCAAATTCACGGGATTTGAGTTGTTGCAGCAAATGGTGTGCTGTAGAGCTATGCAATTTCAGAAGGGCTAAGGCTTACCAGTCCAATTTTAACACTAAGGTTAAGTACAGGTAATTGTGTAACATAGTGTCTGCTGCTTGGGCAACTTATTGCCGTCTCTATGCCTGGTGCAACTGGAACATGTGGAAAAACTCACAGCTTTACGGTTAAGCTTAAAAAGAATAAAGCTTTTCATTTTTGAAATTGTGACAATACTTGCAAATTTTTATTTAAGCAAATTTTGGAAACTGGACCTGTGGCACAAATTTGAATCTTTAATTATTGTAAGCTTTATATTTCTATTCTAGTGGCTTTTAATTTTAGTTTGTACATTTCACCTTTTGGATCAGTGGTGCCTTGTATTTTGGATAATTTTAATTCCTGAAATTTCCAGTTTTCTCATTACATAGTTACAGAGGGGAGCAAGGCAGATTCTTTCAGGTCTATATTCCTTTTTCTAACTTGAAATGTAAAAAATATAGTCAAGTTATTTTATTTTACATCCTATTGTTTTATTTAGGATTTCCTTGGCTGCAAGTCAAATTTTGGAAATCTAATAAATTATAAGAATGGCTTCACCCTTTTCCTTCCTCCCTCTCTGGCAACTCCCAAAGTTGGTTTTTTTTGATGCATCAGTTCAAGATAGCCATTTATATTATGATGGGCTTAGGAAAGACTTCCAGGCTTTTTTTTCCCCCCCCAGTTATTGTCTGTTTTGCTTTAAAGGAAAGTAAAACCTTATTTAGGAAAAAAAAAAACCTTTATTTTTTCAAATCATATCTGACAGATTGCAACAAGAACAAAGTACAATAAAAAATTACTCACATGGCCTGCAAAAGTTAACAAAATAGTGATCAAATACCAAACCTCTGTCCAAGTCCTTTTTGGGTCTAATATATATTCTTCATACTGCAGAGGTAATGCCCACTTTACAGTGGCATCAGATAAAGTTTGTGAAACCATTTTAACACAGTCACTAGTATCTGCTCTCTCTATATACCAGCTTTTGACACAGTTTTATATTCCTCCAGACACATGAAGGATAGTCTGAAGTCAAGTATAAATTTCCTCCCTTGAGTAAGGAGTTCAGCATTAAGTTCAACAGGTTTGCCTGGAATCTACCAGAAGCCTTTCATGGCAGAAACTTTTTCACATCTGTCAATCCATCCCATACAGCATTATTGGCAGTTTAAAAAGGGAGCAGATGCACAAAATATGATGGTGGAACTGAGTATCTTTTTCTTTCTCAAAGCGTACAGCTATTTTTGCTACTTCTAACAACTAATTGTGAGACGTGTATAGCATGTCAAACAAACCTAAAAAGAATATATGTGATAAGTCAAAAGCTGCCATGAAAGTTTCTCCTCCCATGCCCATCTTTGCAAAAGAGGCTAAAATAAGTCAGTCTAGGCTGTGGTCTCTTCTACAGTATTCCAACATTAGGAAAAATAAAATACAGATATTTTATTTTTCCTTTGAAACTGCAACCCTGAGATGAGCTCAGCTGGTTAAAGCATGGCGCTAATAATGCCAAGGTCATGTATTTCATCCCTGTATAGGCCATTCACTTAAGAGTTAGGCTCAGTGATCCTTCTGGGTCCTTTCCAACTCAGACTATTTTGTAATTCTGTGAATTTAGTAAATGTAAACAGGAGTGAAGCTTCTGACAAATTCTACACACACACAATGTATAAACAAAGAATTGCTGTCATACCTTTAATTTTCATGCCAATATTATCTCTGCAATTACCTCAATAATCTAATATTTCCATTGCGATCATCTGTTTCGCAATGCAAAGCTTGTTTTTGTTTTCCCTTTCTATCTATCTCTTTCTCTTTCAGAAAAAGCTACGAGTGAAATCAGTAAATACAGAAAACCAGAGCACTCACCTCATTAAGGCCTGAGAGCACAGTGACATGAGGCACTTGTGTCCCATTCAGCGGAATACAGTGCAAAGAGTCCCAAGTCAGCTGAGACTCCAGAGAGCCACTCCAAGCAGCACAGAATACTGGCATTGCATTTATAAATAGCACAGATCTAAATAGTCTGAAGTCAGCTTTATTGTTTACATGCAGTGAGTTTGGGTAATCCCGCACTGGAATCATCACAGGTCTCCCTACGCCAGAGTAAGTACAGAGACAGGAACGGTTTATTAGATCTTTGCAGCATTGTCTGTCTTTCATGGAGTCTGTAGATGTTTTTTATCTTATAGTTTTACTGAGGTTGCAAAATCCAATGCCAACACATGTCATTAAGACTTTCTCCCCGCCCATGTGCTCTTCCTCAGAGGTCTTTGTTTCAATTTTAAACATGATCTGGAAGAAGCTTCTGAGGTGTCGCAGAAACTCAATTCTGAATGAGAGAAAATAATACCATTTAAGAAACAAAACAGAAAGTCCCATAGCATTATGTACCAACACAGATTCCAGCAATGAACATGGTGAATGAAATAAGAAAACATTGCTTAGTACAGAGAAACAGTGCTACAACCTCCACACACTGTTCTCATTTGTATTGTAGAAGCAGCTAGTGACCCCTCCTGAAACCTCTGCTCTCTCTGTATAAGCAGAGAGAGGAATGGCTGGTAATACAGCAAGACAAAATGGTGAGAGAAGAAGAAAGAAAGGAGAGAAATGTAGCTAGGCAGGTTATTTACTCCTGATGCTGACTCTTCATCAGGGCTATATGAACCCCACACCAACCTGTGATTCCTCCTTTCCCCTGCCCAATGTTTAAAGCAGAAATAAAACATAAACAGGCACAGCCAAAAGATTGGGTGCATACTTTAAGAGAGATCCCAAAGCATGTGTTTGATTTCTGACTGATTACTGTCTTCTCCACTTCTCAGTTAAATGTTTCATTAGGATTACAATCAGACTCAGAATTCTTCCTGTTTTCTCATTTTCAGAAAAAAAAAAAATCCTTTCATCATTTCAGACAGAAAGGTAACAAGAAACTGAACAATCACACTGATCCGAAACAAACACTGACTGGAGGGTAAGTAACATGAAAAACTATAAAAACAGGAAAAAACCAAAAACATCCAAGAAAACATTTTTACTGGCTTCTCTGAAAGAGGGAACATGCAACTGCACCAAAGAAAATTTGTAATTGCTTCTGACAGAAGTTTGGACTCTTCCAGTCATGGCCACAAGCAAGTCTGCAGTCTTGAATAAAGATTTCATCTCCTCCAGCAACCGGTATATGCCTTTCTTAGTTTAAAGAAATGGAATGTGGACATCCAGTTCACACATTGGCTTGTCTGCTCTACATGCATAATTGCAAGCTAATCGCACATACATCATTACAACAAATCAAGAGTAAGTATCCACAAAATGGGAAGAAGGAGAACAAAAGCCTAAGCCTGTCCCCACTGTGGCATCATGAGGCCTCTGAAGCTTCTTGGCAGCTCCTTTTCACAGAATTTGTGAAGCAGTACAAGGAAAGTTGCAGAAGCAAAATCGCTTTATACACTTCAGCTGGCCATGCTGCTATTCCTGCACTCAGATATATGCATGGGAGAAGAGGAAAATGGCAGGAGCTGGAAAAAGAGAGGCTGTGTTTCTATACTGGTGTGTGCTTGGGATGATCTTACTTATCTCTGGGGCAATCTGCTAAATACCTCTGCAGGGTGAATGTGGGAACATCACTCCCAATGCTAGGTATACTTTCTCCTGCACCTTCCTGGACTGATAACTTGCCTCAGGACAGACACCAGCTTTCTCCTCTCTCAAATGGACTAACAGTTGAAATGAAGAACTGAAAAGCACCTTTTCTTCCATGCCTCTCCAGCTGCAAGGTTTCTGGTTGCAGCTATAGCAGCCAAATGGGCATATGCTGGCACAAATGCTTCAGTAAAGCTGACAGACAACAAACTCTCTATCAGCCTTCTCCTTAGCTGGGTCCTTTCGGAGGCTCTGGCAGCATGACAAGAAAGCAGCCAAGCCCAAAACAGCAGGAGTGCCATGCTACACTGCAAGGAGGGCACAGAAGAAACTGTAAAAATGACAGAGGCCATGTGGAGCCAGAGACTCAGGGAAAAATCCTAAAAGGTGATCAGGAAACTCTGCAACATGTTGGTGGGATCAGTTCAGCCCATAACTGTCTTTGCACATAGCTGGGCTACCCCGCATCCCTGTCTTTTCTCCCTTTTGAATAAAGGCAGAGTGAGAAAAATATCAGCCCCTACGTACATGGGAAAGGCTCTCTAGGGTGTGAGCAAGGGAAGGCTGCCTGGGGACACCAGGAGAGAATGTAGAAAAAGCAAAAGGCCAGCATTGTCTTGTAGTAGTGGAAACACAAGTGGTACAAGCCCTGAAAATAGAAGAGAAAGAGGCAGGAAAGTAGGGGTTCGTGACAGAAAGCGGGTTTGTATTAGCTCTGAGGTTGGTCTGGGTCACAGGTGGGCCCCTCAAATAATAGCGCTGGCTGTGCCAACCACACAGGCACACGCTGGAGGACTGAGGGAGGGGGTGAAAGGTACAAAGAAGGATTATTTTGCTGAAAATTTACACTCTGTGTTTAGGCAAGAACAAGGCAGCAGCTGAACAGAGCTGCTCCTTAGGTGCAGGGACAGCTGAGCCACAGAGGAGGCCTTGCAGCCAAAAACAAGAGTAAAAGGCCTGTTTATCTAAGTACTGTCTTTTCCCCAAAGCCTGCTAAGAATTACCAAGAAGTACACAAGAACTTCACACGCTGGGCAAAGCAACCAACTAACAGACCAGTGTGAGAGAAGACCTGTGCACTAGCAGTGCATTCTTGATTCAGTTGCACTGGGGCCTGCAGGGGGCTTTGCCTGCTAGCAGTGGCAGCCCCAGCACGGCTCTCCTGTGTCCTGCCAGAGACCTTCCCAGGAGGAGACAGACTGAGGAGCTGGGGGTGGGCATCCCCAGTCAGGGGAGCAACTGCAAGTGTCAGTTTGGCTCGGCAGAGGCACCCTAACCCCACCTCTTGAAGTCCCTAAACCCTTGCAAAGCCATGGACTGGGGCACCCAGGCTTTCCTGTTGCTGTGCTTCACATACCCCTGGCTCCTGCTTATCCACCTGCATGCAGACAGGTCTGTCCTGCCAGACTGACCCCTGTGAGCTATGGGATGGCCAGCACCCTGCATTTGATTTTAAGCTCAGCTTGACAGAAAGGCACTTGCTTCTGTGAAATATGGATACTAAGAAAGGAGTAATGCAGAGCAGCTGCTGGTCATGAAGACTGTTAGCTCCATTGCCACTCAGGACAGCCCTGCTCATGGTGTTGCCTGCATTTCCACTCCCCATTGTTAGCTGAGACAACGGATGTTGTTGGATGTATTCCTCTGAATATAAGAAGTTTCCTCATTCTAATGGATACGTTCCAAAGCATTTTGTCCCCATGTGATGCTCTCAGCACCCAGCTGAACTGTCACATTCATGATGGACAGGGAAGCCAGTAACATAGCTTTTAAATAATTTCAGATTCTGTAGGGTGAAAATGTTAAGTACAGAGATGTCACAGCTCTGAAAAAAAAGAAGGGCCAAGGACACAGAACATGACAATACTGCAATTCACTTCATAAGCTTGTGTATCCAATGAGTTGCTTAGGAGCCAAATTTACCAGTTCTTCATAAACAGCCCTAGCTGAGGGCATAAAAAGCTCTAGTTGTTGAATGCATAAAAAGCTGCATTCTGTCTGAACAGATCCTCATAGGATTGATGAGTCACAGATTCTCACAGAATCATAGATTTTACAATGTGCTGCTTCTGTATGTGTACTCCTGACCTCTATCCCTGCTGCATACATCTAGCTTGGAAGAAGTGACAACCCACCAACTTCAACTCAGCCTGCTTACAAAATAAACTAGTGCATTTTCTTGATTTTCACAGAACAAAAAAAGGGTAAAAAATTAAAAAATACTCACAATGAGAAGTGATTGGATTGTCCCATATGCTTAAGTGTGCACTTCAAACACTAATATCTACTCTTCTGAAACATTCCACATAATACTTACTTTACAGGGGATTACTTCCCCTTTCTGCAATGGGACACTTCCCTGTCTTCCCCTCAAAATCTGATAAATGTTGTTCAGGAGTTGAGAAAAGCAGTTAGGTAATTTTTAGCTCTCATGTGATGGCACCACCATTCTTCAGTTATCACAGTACTGTACCTTTCACGTATACAGCACCGGTACCATGATAACCGAAAAAGGACAGTTCATACTCTTATTGTTTGATGCCATTGCCAGATAAACAAACCTCCCTTCATTTGACTAAAGAAAACTGCTCAGTCTCTAGAAATAACTGTGATCTAATAAATCCCTTGAAAGTCTGAAAAATTAAATTTTTGATAAATTGTTTTGATAAATTTGTTTTGATTTTTTTTTTTGATAATTTGTTTCCCTAATCAGTTTCTCCTAGAACTCAATTAGGCCACTGCCGTGAAAGATAATAAAAGGTGTTTTTATAAATACATTAAAAACTAAAGGAAGGCCATGGAAAATCTCCTGCTTTACTGGATGTAGAAGAGAACATTGTCATCAAGGATGAGGAAAAGGCTGAGGTCCTCCATGTCTTCTTTGCCTCAGTCTTTAACAGTAAGACTCATCCTCAGGGCAACTAGCCTCCTAGCTGGGGCACAGGGAGAATAGATCTTCTGAAATACACAGTGAAGTACTGAGCCATTTAGACACTCAAGAATTCTATGGGATTGGATGGAATTCATTTCAAGGGTACTGAGGGAGCAAGAAGAAGAACTCCCCAAGAAAATCTCCATCATGTAGCATCAGTCCTAGCTAACTGAGCAGGTCGCAGAGGACTGGAAGTTGGCCAGTGTGATGCTCATACCAGCAGGGTCAGAAGGAAGACCCAGGAAACTATAGTAATAGCCCATGGATTGGATGGGTACCCTCTTCACTAGGTAAAAAACTGTTCGTATGGCTGGGCCCGGAGCGTGGTGGTGCATGGAGTTACATCCAGCTGGTGGCCAGTGACCAGTGGTCACTGACCAGGGCTCAGCACTGGGGCCAGTTCTGTCCTGTGCTTAGTTCTGGGCCCCTTGCTCCAAGAAAGACATTGAAGTGCAGGAGCATGTCCAGAGAAGGGCAACAGAGCTGGTGAAGGGTCTGGAGCACAAGTCCTGGGAGGAACACCTGAGGGAGCTTGGGGTGTTTAGCCTGGAGAAAAAATGAGGCTCAGGGGAGACCTTATTGCTCTCTACAACTGCCTGAAAGGAGGCTGTAGACAGGTGAGGGTTTGGTCTCTTCTCCCAGGCAACAAGTGAAAGGATTAGAGGAAATGGCCTCAAGCTGCACCAGTGTAGGTTCAGGTTGGATATCAGGAAAGGTTTTTTCACTGCAAGGGTTGTTAAGAATTTAAATGGGCCACCCATGGTGGTGGTGGAGTCACAATCTGTGGAAGTGTGAAAGAACCAACCAGATCTAGCACTATGGTCTAGTAGAGAAATAGTGTTCAGTCAAAAGTTAGACTTGGTCTTAGACGTCCTTTCCAGCCTTGATGATTCTGTGATTCTGTAACCTGTGTTTACAACTAGCAATATAAGAAATGAATTTATTTTCTATCCCCTGGACAACTACCAGCTACAGACAAAGCTTTAGTGAAAACTGAGACTAAAGGACCAGATAGGATTCTGCTGCCCAATAAAACCTTGAAATAGCACATAGCTCTATGAATTGAAGTTTTAAGCTGTTTCATAGGAAAAATCACAGCTTTAGAGTTTGGCTAGCCGTTTGAAATACAACATTTAATGACACAGCTACAGAGAGATCACCAGGGAAAACGTACTAGTGTACACTAGGCAACAAAAAGCCAACTGATGTACACATACATTCCACGTCAAGAACCATCAATAAACCCTGTCTCTGCAATTCTCAGAAACAGGAATAATATAGAACAGTAAGGGACTCATCCAATATGTAGAAACAAACCCTAGGCAATTTACATCACTTTTCTCATTTGAAGTCAGGTACAAGTTGTTCTATTTGTTACCACAGGCAAAGTCTTCCATACATAAAAATAGCTGTGCAATGAAACTAGTGAATTAAAACAAGACTGTCTAACTGAACTGAACAAAACAACTTACGTGTATGGAGACAGAGGTCCCAACAGGACTTTGGAAACGTCCCGCTGTCCAAGGGTCATAAGGAGCAGAGCAAGGCTCTGATTTGTTGAATCCACACAGCCTCCCTGCAAACCAAAATGTTTTCATAATTAATCTCTGTACAAACCAGAAACTGGGATGGGAGGAGAGTAACAAAGGCAAAAGATACACTTAAAAGGGTGAAATACCACTCCCAATTTTTAAGGGCCAAGAAGATAAAAATCTAGATTTTTTAAACAATGACAAATTAATTTCACATGGCAGGCTGGGAGAAGAACAGAACTAAAACAAAACCCGTAGGAAGGTCACATTAAATATTCCTCCTAATCTGTTTTAACACCTCAGAATGTAAACACTGAAGAATTTCTTTGCAGTAAATTGAAAAAAGGTATTGGTTCTAGTTCGCATGCATCTGAAGATCCAGGAATTCCAGCACTTTATGATAACAGTTACATTTGCACAAATAGTTCAGTGTTAGCAGATGCAAAACAGCAAGTTAGAAGTTATTTAGCACTTATCCACAAAAACCCTTGCTGCCAACTTTTGCGAGTTTACACTTGTAAAACATTCCCCCTCCATAATTAAAATAGAAGACTTTTTTTATTGCTAAGTGAAAGAGCCACACATAAAATTAAGGAGAACCACACAAACTCTTTTACATATTTGACTGTAGTAAGTCATATGCAAGGTAAATAGTTCTGTATGTGAAAGGTGTTTACTATGACGCATACATTAATTAGAACTGGAAGGCTAGAATTAGAAATAAGAATTGTTTACAAAGCTGGAATATAAATTTAAAGGGATACGTTCAGTCAAGGCTGCTGTAGAGACTAGCCATATGAAATCTATCTGAACAGTTTTCTGCTGCATCAGGCCTAATGCTAAGTCCTCTGAATAGTTTCTCTGGAGAGACTTACCTTTTTAAAACCAAATTCTCTAATGAGGTAAACTGACAGTTACCTTTGTTGACAAGGAAGGTAACCTATCATAATTTCAAGATATAACACTATCCAAGAAGGCAAGGGAGAAAATATATTTTGGACTACACAGATTAAGAGAATCAGCCAACGTGACAACTGCAGCACATTTACTCAGTGAGAGGCAGAAAGGGAGAGCCTTTCCAAGGGGGGATACCGAAGACTTAATTTTCAAGATGGCCTTGCTTCTGTGTGACAAGCTGCAGATCCATTCTTCTGAAAAAAAGTCTGTGCATTACATGCAACGAACTACAGCACAGCAAAGTAAGTAGCTCTGTTACATTCACTACCATGACCCAACTCCTAAAACATGCTCTTACAGCAGTACTTGCCCTCTTAACTGCGCAAACTTGCCATAACCAAAATGAAGCTCATATATTCAACTTAATGCCGCCTACAGGACTGATAAAAATTTTACTTTATCTTGAGTGAACAGGGGACTTGCAGAATTTGCTGGTGCAATCTAAAGCCACAGATCTCACCAGCTGTATTTGCCAAGGAGAAACACATACCAAGGCAGATAAGAGTTTGGTAAGAAGTATTCCTGACACTAGACTTTGTGTAGTTGTAGTCTGATTAGTAATTCAAAATGCTCCTTCTTACTTGGATGAAAACTTCACATTTTCTGAGCTTGTTTTGTTTCTCTACAGCTGAAAACATTGTAAGGTATCTACTTTTATAACCCAATTTATACAAAAGCTTCAATCAGCATGGAGACAACCATGTCCTAAGAAATAAATCAAACCACAATGCATCCATCATGTCCTAACTGCTTACATAAGTTTCCTTGCTGCAGTGAGTCAGTCATCCCCAGTACTGCTGTGCATTTGTGGCAGTGTTCCCTTGTGCCACTCTACCATCTCCTCAGGAATTCTTATTAGACATTGACCTTGATTAATGCCTCCTGGGCAGTTAAGCTCCTTTTTAGCTTATCAGAAACAGTCTGCTCCTAGGAAGTTCTGCCTAACAAACCACTGTTTTCTAATGGACAATCTTGGAACATTATTTTTGTCTACATCGTAGCCCAGGTGGAACAATACTATTGTTACTGCACCTTTTGACGAAAATTCCAGTAACAACTGACCCAGACTGCAGCCAGAACGGAGAATGACAGAAGCCTAAAGCCAAGCATCTCACAACCCTACTGGCAGCAGTACTAAGTGAGGGTCTTTGACTTCTCCAAGGCTACAGAAGGCTGCACCAGCACCTCCCCCGAAGTGGTACACCTCTTGAAGCTCAACAACCCTCAAGTCTTCAGTACTTGGAGAACAACCACCAAAAGTTGTTGACAGGGTCTGCACTGATACACTCAACGCTCAAAGCTTAACTCTTCAAGTTATATGTCAGGTACAAAGCCATCTGACATATTTTACTAAACATGAGGGGAATTTTTAACCTTTTTATATACATCTTTATGTCTATGTGTGTGCATGTATGAATTGATTTAAATATACTACAGCAAGCGTAGTATGAATGTTGCCATCTCCTAATTTTTCAACTAAGTTGCTACTGAGCTTATAGAAAATCTTACTGAATCATTTTGTAAGTGTTAATCACAGAATCAAAGAATGGTTAAGATTGGAAGGGATCACAGCAGGTCAGCTGGACCAACCTCCCTGCTCAAGCAGGATCGCCCGAGAGTACATGGCACAGGATTGCATCCAGACTGTTCCTGAGTATCTCCAGTGTGTGAGACTCCACAGCCTCTCTGGGCAACCTGTTCCAGAGTGCAATCACCTGCACTGTAAAGGATATGTAAAAATATCTTCCTCTTATCTAGGTGGAACTTCCTGCGCATCGGTTTTTGTCTGTTGGCTCTTGCCCTAATGCTTGGCACCACCAAAAAGAGCTTGGAACCATCTTTCTGGCACCCTCCCTTCAGATGTATCAATAAGGTCTCCACTCAGTCACCTCTTTTCAACACCAAACAGGTGCAGCTCGCTTGACCTTTCTTCGTAAGAGAGATGCTCCAGTGCTTTAATCATCTTTGTCACCTCCTCTAGACTGCTCCATGAACACCATGTCTCTCTCATCCTGAGAACTGAACACAGCATTCCCATATGTAGCCTCACCAGGGCTGAGTAGAGGGGCAGGATCAACTCCTTCAACCTGCTGTCAGTGCTCTTCCTAAGGCACCCCAGGGTATCATTGGCCTTCTTGGCCACCAGGACACACTGCTGGCTCCTGGACAGCATGCTGTCCAACACCATGTTGTCCCCCAGGATACAGAGACCTATTCCCCAGTGGCTCAGTTCCCAGCCTCTGCAAGTGCCCAGGATTATTTTTCCCCACATGCAGGACCCAGCATTCACCTTTGCTGAGTTTTCAGGAGCTCTTCTCTGCCCATCTCTCTACACTGTTGAGGCCCTCTGAAGAGCTGCATGGCCCTCTGGGGTATTGGCCACTGCTCCCAGCTTTATGTCGTGAGTGAACTCACTGAGAAGACATTTGTGCATTTGTTCAAGTTATTGATAAACAAGTTAAACAATGCTGGATCAGTACTGAACCTTGGGGCCTCCAGCCAGACCCTACTCTACTGATTACAACCCCCTGGGATCTCCCATTCAGCTGGTTCTTAACCCACCTCCCTGTCCACTCACCTAATCCACACTTCCTGAGTTTGCTTGTGAGGATGTTGTGAGAGACAGTGTTGAAAGCCTTGCTGATGTCCAGGTAGACAAGCAACGCCTTCCCTGTTTGTTAGCATCACTTGAGCAGCACACCATTGCCTGGGGGATCCTCCACTACCTATGTCAGGAAATTGTCACCCATGCTTTCCAGGAACCACCTGGGCTGTTTGTGTTTCACTGTGCTGGCTCTGCAGCAGATGTCAGGGGAGCTAAAGTCCCCCAAAAGAACCAGGGCCTGTGACTTTGAGGATGCTTCATGCTGCCTGTAGATGGCCTCGTTCACTTTCTCCTCCTGATCAGGCAGCAAACACCCACAACAGCAAACACCCTTACTAGTCTGCCCTTTTATCCTGACCCATAAGCTCATCATCCTCACCAATACAGAGCTCGATACTGTCAGGGTTGTCTCTCCTGAACAGGGCGTAGCCCTTCATGCCAACATTCCAGACACATGAACTAGCCCACCATGTCTCTGTCACCGCAATAAGATCAAAGCCCTGTGACTGCATGCAGGTTTTTAGCTCATCTTGTTTGTTCCCCATACTGTGTGCACTGGTGCACATGCAGTTTACAGAAGTATTTGATTATGTCAGCATTCCAATAGTCAATGATTAAATGCTGCTATGTTCTTGAGACAAATTGTTGATCAAGTCGGAAGCTACATTTTGCAAGGGATACACTTTTGTGACCCAAAAGGAGGACCTCCCTTACCCCTTTTGCAGCTTTATCCTTTTCCATCCTTACCCTCTTTGCATTGCCGTTCTCTGCATAAATCATTGTAGAATCACACTAACCAATTTTTCTTGGCGTGATTCATCTATGTAATAAGTAATAGTGAACCTTGCCATCAAACTTTGCAACATGTCAACAAATTTATAAAAAAACTTCCTTTTGACAATACTTTTGCCAGCAATTTAAGTGATCTAAACCACTCATTTGCAACACCATTCCTATAAAGACAGTTCCCAGACAGTGACATTAAGTGATTGCTTGTAATCTAATGACTGACCAGTAACTTCTGCCAAGTAAAGGACTTAACGTTCCCAAGGAGGTCAGGTTTTTTTTCTATCAATCCACCTGCCACTTACTCAAGAGTCAAAAATTAGAAACAACCCTCCCAAAAGAAATGGAATGGGCAAAGTCAGAGCCAAGGTACGTTTGTTCCAAAATAACTGGTGCTCATTACCAATGCAGAATGCAGCTTCTAGACTGTATTAATTCAGTCTATGGCAGCTTAGCCATTATTGTTTACACTGACTACAGAGCCAGATCCAGCTAGTTGTGATAGTATACACAGGTCCCTTAAAATCCCATCCATTTTTAAATGTTGTACAAATACTACAGCTGACATGTACATACAAATATCACAACTCAGCGTATTGGACAACAGTGTCTCGAAAAGGTTTTTTCTTCTGAGCTTGAGCCCAGCTTTGATTGAGTGTTAGCTATATTTTGGGACACACACAATTTCCTCCCTTACCTGTGTGGTACATATTTGCAGGACTCAATAATCTATTATACAAAGGGTATCAAATTATTGCAGAGGGTTTGTATTTTGGTTTTTGGGGTTTGGGTTTTTTCCCAGAAGAATGGAGCAAAGCCTTACCACACTGAAGTAAGACCATCTTGAGAATTAAGCCATTAATGAAATCCTTCACTCATTTTTGCTCTATTTCAATAAAACAAACAGCTTTAGCCCTCCTGCCCTTTCAAGGTCCCCTAGCAACTCAGCCTTTCTTCATTAAAGAATTCAGCCTTAAATAGGTACTCCCCTATTTTTCATGATTACAAAGAATATAAAAATTAAATCCTTTTCCAGTTCTTCCAGACCTTCCATTCTGCCAATTACTCTCTACATAAAGCTCCCATAAACAATGTCTTTCAAAGGCAAGAGTTAAAATCCTTACTAGCCTTCTACAATTAAGCTTCAGAAAGAACTGCATATGGATTTGTAATGACAATGCTAGTCAGTCACTCCATTACCCCCTCTTGCAGAGCCACTGCAATTAAGGCACTGTGCCACTTATTAGTCTATTAGCTCTGACATCTTTCCATCAACAAATGTGCATTTAAAAACTCTGCTGATTCCAAGAATCATGCAACCTAACTAATATATTTTTGAAGGCTTAGTAAAAGGACTTCTAGCAAGACTCAAATCCTTAGATTTCCTAGGTGGTAAACTTTACACAATGGCAAGCACTTTACAAAATGTCCCTGGACCCCTTTCAACAGTAACTGCAACTCCAGCAGATTTGTGGGTGATCCCAACACCTAAAGCCCTTTTACAGAGAATTGTCTCCAGTGCTCTCAGGGTGCTCTCCTTGTCTGGTCAGCCCGCCCTGGCTCCCACAGCATAGTACCTACTGGTAAAAACACAGATAGTGGAAAAATCCCATAAAGAGAAGATCTAAAAACAGGAAAATAAATTCTTCCTTGAGCCCTGTATTCAACAAGTAGGTGGTGTAAAAATATGTGAGACTTAAAGATTGCCCGTTCAGAGCAATCTATTCTTGCTTTTTCAGATTTTTAGTTTCACTAAACATCTTACCTAGGCAAACAAACATAAAAAACTAGTGCAGTAACCTAAACAAACACTGTGCACTTTGCAACATGTTTTTATATCCCCTCTGCATCCAACACTAAATCAAACTGACCAACAAAAAACCCAAAAAAGACCAAACAAATGAAAAAGCACCCCAAACAAAAAATAAATGTCCAAAAACCAAACACCCTAAAAAAGCCCATCCCAAAACAAAAAACAAACTAACCCCCAAAAATACAAAGGAAAGAAAATTAAAAAGAAACCTTACCTTTCAAAATTCAGGCTAGCACTGCAGGACCACATGTGTCACACATAAATTCGTCTGTATTTCAAAAACTACATAACAAACCCCATCATATTGCCCATGATGGAGGGAGAGGGGAATTCACTAAATAATGACTAAGCACTGCAGTGAAAAAGTAGCACAAAGAGCCAAAAATGCTACCAAATTCTAACTTTTCCACAGTGAGCTGCTACAGTGAAGGACAAATAGTCTGTACACTGCTCAGCATTTTTCAGTCACTCTTGGACAGAAGTCACCCACACGTAAAGGAGTCTTCTAGCAGCACCAGCAGTACCATAGCAAGCCACAGCTAACAACCTCACTCAGATTCTGATCTTCAAAAACACTGAAACCTGATAGCCTATTACTTTATGATTCAAAGACTTGTCTGACCCTGATTCCTCCTCAAACTTTTTTTCCTGTTGTCTTAAGATTCTCACTATCCTTTGCAGAATTTGACTCATCATATTTAAATGGCTGCCACACACTAAAGCAGAAAGTTACTTGCTTTAGGCCTTTCCAGCCCTCTTCCTTCGTAAGTTCTCTGACATCTGACTCTGTGCAAAACATAACATCTGGACAAATTGCCTCACTAGTTTTAATCTACCAAGTGCTAAATGGTTTCCAAAGGGGAAAAAACCCCTATTGTTGCTGATAAAAGTATGTGGAAACTTGATTTTTGATGTCTCTAGACACATGACTACCAGAAGATGTTTTCCAACATGTACACAAACAAATTACTGAAAGATTTTTGCAGTTCACACCTGAAACAAAATAACTACATGACAGTATGTAATTGCAGAAACAGACAGATGTTTCCATCACTAGCTGTGACTACATTCTTGACACAGGCCGGACTTTCAAATACAAAGGGCCTAGATTGTACCCAGCAACCCATGAAATACATTTTGGTGGTGGTATTTCTGTGACACAAGAAGCCTGGGCTAGAAAAGTCCTTTAGCAACATAGTTTATCTGCTGAATAAACATAGCCAAAATATTAATGGAAGACTGAAAAACGTGGCCAACTAGTAATTCAAACAGATAAAAGATTTGCAACAGGGAAAGAGAAAAATAAAATGGGCACAGATGAAAAATCTAACACAGGTATGGATGTGATTTATGAAGTTGAGGGGCTTTTTTACATTTAACTGCATTCCCTAACATAGAATCTCAATAATGGCAGTTTTAACAATTTGTGAAGTCACATAGCTTGTTAACAGTTCAGAGCAACTACTTGTTTTTTTAAATAATGAGCAAAATTTGTACATGACTGCCTCCTAAAGGCCAAACATGTTTTATCAATGCTAAAACGTAGTTATTTAAACATTTGTGGAGATACAAATCAAGGCAGCTGGAAGGTTCTTTATTAAATTGGAAACTCATCAGGGTGCTATTTGCCAAATAATTTGTAGCACTGAAAGCTGCTTATCCACTGAAATTCTTGCCACAAATGAAAATCATTTTAATAAAGAAAAATATCTATGCTGAAGAAAACTGTGATGCACTTAGGATTCCTAAGTAAACATCAATCCAGCTCCCTTCCAACAACCCATTAAGACAATTCTTCATTCAACCAATAATTCTCAGCACAGTTGACTTCGTCATCATCATTACAAAGTGGTCAACATGGAGCCTTGCAAGGCTTTTTTCCCCTTCTGTCTCTCCTATGTTCTTTCACTCATAATGTCCAATTCCAACCACTAGTTTAGAAGCATGGACTATGTTACCCATTCATACTATTTAGAAGAGTAACAGCCCATGTGAATGAAGCTAATTGAATTCTGTTGAAGACAGAAAGCAACAGTGAACAGCCACTCCCATGATTCATAATACATATCAGACATTGGAAACAGCATGCCCCAGTAACTCATTACACTGTTAAAGGAGCCACGCAAAACCACTCTTGACCTGGATGAAAACGACACTGGCAGCATCAGACAATTTCTCTGCTTGAATTTGCACCTGTCTGAGGGTGCCACTTCCCTTACATCTATACACACATATACAAAACATATTGGCCACTTACTCTGTAGACCTCCTCAAGCAGCAGCTTAGCACAATTCTGGCCCAGTTCCTCAGGAAGTATAGCTGCTCCCTGGCCCTGAGGGTTTGAGGCTAGCTCGGCACTGAGAATAGTGCCATTGATGGTTTCTGCAGTAAGGCACATGCCAAAACCTGGTGATCTGAAAGAAAGTGGAAAAGTGCATTTGATTGAAGGACAAAACTGGAGTAATGAGTCAAAAACTTCAAGTCATAAACAGCCCCTCCCATAGGATGACAAACATCCTGTTTGATACAACAGATTGATGCTGGAAAAAGAAAATTAACAAATTAAAAGTCAAACCCAGTACCAGTAGCCACAAAACCCTCTATGTTGGCTTTTCCTGGGCCAAACTCTTTAAACAGAAAAATGAAAAAGAAAATAAAGAGCCATACAAACCTCAGAAATGCTTGGGGCTTTTTTTAATAGAGGAGGGTACCTTTTACATTTATTTAATTTGTGTTTGATAAACATTTCAAAGGTATCTGGTGTTTATTCTCTGCGACATTCAAAACCAGAACTACCCTTCTTTAAGGCTTCAGCTCTTTCCCCTGGAAGCCACAATATTTAGCAAAATTAGACTAATTACTTAGTATCAAGGATACTGCTATCACAGTGGATTAATATTTAAGATGATTGCCACAGTAGCATCAGAAACCCAGCCAGCCAGGTTGAAAGTGATTCAGTTCCTCTTCCCATGCTATTGTTTATCCCTCTGCATGAGCTGCATGTAGTAAAAATAATGTTGCTGCCCCAAATAATTTGACTTTTTAAATTTCATAAGCAGATGAAAAACAGAATTGAGACCCCAAAACTATACAGCTCCCAGAAACATTTTTGCAATTCTGATCCTGTAAACAGCTTGGAGCCATTAAAGTTACAATCCTGGCATATTAAATATGATGAAGGATTGGAAAAGACAAAAGATACCAAAAATTTCTTCAACAATTTCTACGTTCATAAACTTTTTAATCTAACAAATTTTAATGAAATATTTCAAAAAGCAGAAATATTGAAAGAAAATATGCATGCCTGCATTTGAGCATACAGACAGAAAACTATCAAATGAGTTATCCAGAATCTTTCAACCTCAAGGAAGAAGAAAACAGAGATGACAGATACCAGCAAAATTGTCACAATAGATCCACCACTTCTGTGTTCTGTCACAAATCAAAATCTGTGGAAGTACAATAAATTAATTTTCCAGTCCTCGCTAGTGAGAGGACACTCCTTCAGCCATTCAGCAGAAGACAACTCATACTGCTTTAACACTTCCTCAAAACACCTCGGTCCCATCCTTAATATTACTATTTCCAACAGAAGGTGTACAGTCAACTTTGAATCTTGGTTTCCTGAACATATCATGACACCTTGATCTTAATCTCTCTTCAAAGCAACAGATTTAAAGATGAAGGGGACTCAAATTGCCTTTAGTGGCAATAATGATGTATTGCATTCCTTGTTTAAGAAAACACACTTCTATCCCTGTGTAAGTATCTAGGAAAACAAATGTATCTAGTGAATCACCCATTCTTTCTTTGTGAGAAATATTTATTTCAAATCAACAAAATAGAAGATTGTGATCTAAAGCTCAGTAAAATTAGATCAGGACACCCCAGCAAATAAACAAATGCAGAATAACACGTCTGTTTCCTGTAAATTCTGGATACTCACTTTCCAGAGCTGACCCCCTTCATATGGTCTGTGTAGATATAGATGTCTGGGAGGAATTTATTCAGGATGCCCCTTGCAGATTCCACCATTCTGTTTGCCATCTGTGGTGACACTCGGACAGAGTATCTACATTTCTGAGCTAAGAAATCCATTGTGATCACAAGAAAAAATTGAAAGCAGAGAATGACAAAGTGAAGAGGTCCCAGTGCATTATTTCAGAAAACATGTGTTTTATACATCTATTCATGGGCTTTTGTCCATGTTCCTGCACCTAGAGAACCATATGCATGTAAATGTTTTCTAGTCTTTTCATTGATGTACCTTGAAGTACACAGAACATGTGCTGAAGAACAGATTACAACTAAGTAAACATCTATCTTGAAAATGCCCTTCATCAAATTTAAATTGCTGTTATGTCATCTTCTACTTTCTTATGATGGAGGAAGTCCCACATGCTCTGTTCTTCATGGTTTATCAAAACATGATCCTGAGTGAAGTTTCTGTGAATTTGCAGCAAAAAAAAATCTGCCTTTCTGTTTCTGTCAGGGAGAAATTGGGAAGATGAATAAGAAATTAAAGACAAATGTTCCAACAAAAAAAAAAAAGTTAATTAAAAAGCTCTAAGAAAAATATATTCGCCATCTCCAACCATTTTGCAATGTTCTGAGGCTATCAAATTCACTAGTTTTCTAGTCACTCAGCATCTGAAAGTTCCAGTAAAGAAGAACCTACCACCTTACCACCCACCCCAACCCACCTCTTAACAGTACCTAAGAGATGAACAGCCTTTCTGATCTTGTACTCAGGTGCTGCTTCAGAGAAAGTCCCAAAAGATCTTCAAATGTACAAAGCACATTATGCTTTAAATTCCAGCCCAACTATAATGCAGACTCACACTCTACCCATCTGCACATACATTCACACAGCAATGCAGAGAAACACACTCTCAAAACTCCCAGCTGGCAGGGAGAAATTTTCTTTTCTGCAAATTTCTATAGCATTTCTTATGGAGTAGGCAAACCCAAAACTTTAGGATCTTAAGGCAAAATCATTAAAAAATAAACTGCTCTGCACAGTTGATGCACTCAGTATTTTGGATTATATAAAAGGCTGCTGTAATATGATCTCCACAGCTGTGAGGAAGATTTACTCAGATGAATCTTGGAGGAATAAAAGTACACATAAAAAAGACATATGGGCTTATCCTTTCAGATGTTTTGTATTCTATTGCCTTGAAGGACCACTTAATAGCTAAACTAAAATGAGTCTGTCTCTCACGATGCTTAAAGGCAAACCTATACCCCTGAGAAAAGGCCCAGGAAAGCCTACAGCAAGGTAGAAGTTCAGAATTAGATCAGATACATCAGTCAAAGTGGTCCAAAATGGTGCTGCATATTAGTGTCAATTTAGAACAATGGCAGTAAAGTCATGATCATTGCTTCCTCCTCCACACAGAAACAACTACTTACTACAGAGCAGAATGGAGGCATAACAAAATTACCTTCTCCACCAATATACCACAGCAACTACCACCAAAAGCACAATGAGCTGCCTCCTTTCTGTTCTACAGCACATATACCCAGTAAAACTGCTCTTGCTTGGCACTACTGCACTTATCTAAATGCCGCAATTGGACAAGGCAGTGAAAACATCCAGTTTATACACACAGTTGTGATGGTATGACATAAAGTAAAAGAAGAAACAGACTGCAAATCTACACTTCTGGCAGAAAACATGACCTCGTTCCTGCTTTCCTTTTGAGTAATCAATGCCAAATCATGTTTGGGCTCTCAAACACAAATTAAACTACATGTAGGCCACCGCTTAAGACAGTTTCATGTAAGGGATTTCTACCTTCTTTCTACAATGACAGCAGATTCATGACAGATACCATACAAAAGCCACAAGAGAAAAATAATGTCAAAAAGAAATAAACAATCCAAAACATTGGCTAGATTTGCAGCTGTTTGAAAAAGTATGGAGTTCACAAGAGTATTTTGTGCCCTTATCTCCATATGGAATAAAACCTCCTCCACTTCCACCTGCACTGGTTCTACCAAAGGTGAAGAGCCAAGGAACCTTCTTTCAAACCACACCAAAAAGCTTAGTGTGCTGCAAGATGTAAACTGAACTAAGATTTATCATGCTAAACTATCACCCCATCTAACTTCTGCTAAACTAGTAACCACCAAGATGTCAACTATTCAATGCACAACTAAACTACATTGGTCACTACTGAATTTACACACAAAGTAAGATTTCTCTAAGCCTCCTACATTATGTGATGGAAGGAATTTTAACTTTTTCTTGCTATTGAATTTTAAATAGTGCTGTTCAGCTTTGAATTTATTCAATGGTTTACAGATGCTTTTTGAATAGCAATGTTTTGAAAACAGGAGTTTTGGGACACAGTTCTGAAATCTAGTTGTATGACCCCTCTGTGTAATGTTGGCCTGTGTTCTGTGCTCAGAACGTGGTTTCCAAGTTAGGGGATTTTTTTTTTAATAAACAAACCAATTTAAAAGTAGAAAAACAGACAAACAAAAAGGATACGCAGTTCCTCTGATGCGCTTGATTTTTCCAGGGTCTGTGAACTGAACAGGCTGCAAGACCTTTCTCACTGGGCAAGAAAACAGTATCTCTCCACCCCCTTTGGGAGGCATTCCTCTTCGGTTGATCTAGAACAAATAATGGAGGAAAAAAAGCAGGTTAGTAAATAGTGCAAAGAATGTACCTACACCCCCCAAAATTACACTTTTATTTCTCATAGAATAAAATGTTTTAAGTAGGGGCATTATGTGAACACAGGCAAGAAAACCACATCCTAAAAGCAGAAATAGATTTTGCATCAAAACTAAAAGCAGGCATTGATTTTTTCGTTCCTCTCAAGTAAAGTAAAGCATGGCTTCTCAATAGAAAACAGTGCAAAACCAAACAAAAACATCTTTACCAAAACAACCTTGGCTTAAGACTTGTCTCTAGTAGCAGATTGCACCTCGCTGCTAAGGAGACTAGAATATTTGATTTGAGCTGAGCTGATTACAGCATGGTGCTGATAATGCCAAGGTCGTGGCTTTGATTCCCATATGGAACATTCACTTAAGATTTGGACTGGATGACTTCTGTATGTGAGAGACTAAAATGAACTCATTCCCACTAACAGGTCTGTCTGGCCTGAGCCAGTCCCACCATTCCAAGGCAAGGATGGAGCTGGGACATGGGCCAGTGAGTGGGTCTGGGTAGAGAGGCCCAGAGCCAGGCAGGGCAGGGCTGTGGTGAGCTGAAGGCCAGCCCTGCTGCAGGGTGACAGGAGCAGAGGCTGGCAGTGCCAAGACAATGACAAGGGCACTTGGGCTGTGGGCAGGGTGGGGGTGAGCCTTCGCAGAGCAAGGCACCAGCAGACCCCAGTTGTGCAGCCAGACCCTTCACTCATTTCTCCCGCCTAAAAGAAACCCAAATGTTGTTTTGTATCCAGATTTATTGGGCCTCTGAAGACTGTAGTCTTCATGAAAAATGGCTTTCCTCTGTTTTCCGAACTAGAAACAAACCTCAACTACTGTAGTTATGATATTTTATTAAAAATCCTTTGCTAGGATTTTTCCCCTCCTGAGGAGCTGGGAGCCTCAGGAAAGAAATGTAAACAATATCTATCTGCTGCTGTGGAATGCAACAGGTGCATCTTCCATTGGTTCATGTGGATTGTTTTCAATTGATGACCAATCACAGCCACCTGTACCAAGGCTGTGAGCAGTCACAGGATTTTGTTATCATTCTATTCTATTCTTGTTCTTTGTAGCCTTCTGATCTTTCTGTTCCTCTATTCTTTTAGTATAGTTTTAATGTAATATTTTAATATAATATATAACATAATAAATCAACCTTCTGAAATAGAATCAAACCTTGTGTCTCCACACACAGAGAGTTCATCACAACAAACTACCCAAACACAGATTCAGCTCTCCTACAGGTGAAAAAGGTTAAAGATACCATTTTTAATTCTTAGCCCCAAGCATGAGGCAGAATGAACAAGTAGAAATAAAAAGATAATAAATGAACTGATAAGCAACAAAAAGCAAAAGGGTTTCTCAGTCTTCTTTGCAGACTAAGGAAAATCACTACTTTCTCCTTACCCTCTCTATCACTGTGTGGTTCGTAGCCAGAACAAATTATCTGTTAGAGACAGAAACCCAAAGCAAGCACATGGGCCCATGAAGTACTGCAAGAGCATAATTTCAACACATGCTTGAAAATAAAGGAACAAACTGTCTTACCTTGATTTCCAGACTTTCACCATCAATTCCAAACTTCCTCAGAAGGGGTAGAGCTGTTGCCTTAAGGACATCAACCTATGTGGAACACAGAATTTTAAGAAAAGACTCTCTATTTGAAGTAAGGTTAGTCAGTAATTTAAAAAATCACTAACAGAGACAAGTCTTCTTCATAGAAGTATTTTATGGGAAAACATGGGAATGCAGCACAGAGAGCTACATCATTACTAAAAAAAATGTCCTAGAACAAATTACTGGCAGATAGAATTTCCTATTCTGGCTTTCCTCCTCAGCCTGATTTTGAATGTCATTATGTAAAACAGCTTACTTATTTCTCTGAACAGTGAAACATTTCTCTGAACATTTCTATGTTATTGAGAAAATAATATTCTTCCGTCATTACTAAAAAACTCCTATAGCTAAACAAATTAATGCAAGAACCACTGCACTTTTTTCAATCATCACTGCAAGATATAGCTGCAGTATTTGGCAGAAAGATCATTCTATCAACAACTTCTTTTTACCTGTTTCTAAGAAACAGAAGCTTATAGGTAGCTCCTGCCGAAGCACTTAAAAGAATCTGAAGTGGGTAACACATCATCAGTGTACTCCCTTTGAAGCCAGGTGCTCACCAGGTCCAGGTCTGAACAGAATAATCCTTGTCATTGCTCTTTCTAATTCCTAAGACTACAGGGACTGCCCTCTTCTTCCCTTTCTGAAACTTCAGTAGTGTTGCCAAATGTGATATAAATTATTTAGCAGTGCAACAGCACAAGGAGTTACCCAAGACAAATAGCTGTGGAGAGACAGGATCAGGACGGCACGACCAAAGAGAAGATAAACACAGATGAAGGAAACAGTCATGAGGTAGACAGTATTTGAGAAGGCAGATAAAAAACACTCTCTTTCCCACGCCTTCAGCCAAAATTCATAATTCCTGAATTTCATTTTCTCTGCTTTGAAAAGAGTGCAAGCCACTGACAAAATTGCAGTACCTCACCTACAAATCTGTGAACATTCTGTTAGTGGTACCTGAGGAGCTATGAGTGTGTGTTGTAGTTCTCATTTTCAAATCCTGCTGGACAACATATCTCGTTTCTTACAGAAAGGTATTTGCTGTTGGTTTTAGTATCAATATTTGAATGTCTGTGTTAAAACAAACAAAACTACAAGCCAATGCTTAACTTCTTTTAACTTACAAAGTTTACAGTTTTTTAAAGCCAGGCTACCTCGCTTTGGCCCTTCAGTAGTATTCATTAACTGTACAAATTTGACTTTTGGAGCAAAGCCTTTATTAACATGCATGTGCACAAGCACGTGAATACCACTGGCAGTTACTAACATGCATGTGCATAAGCATGTGAATACCACTGGCAGAAGTCTCAGCAAGCTGATCTGGTTCAAATGAAAATTACACAACATTTCTTCCTCCTTCTCATAAAACAAAACATACCAGTAAAAAATAAAAACTTTACTGTGTAGGTTAAGAACTCAAAAAACTTCAAGACTTGTTGTAGTTTTCAGTCCTCAGAAAAATTCCAGGCATAATACTTAAGAGGTACCAGACAGACAAATAGTAAGACTGACTGTTCCAATTTTGCTGCCTAAACAGAGGAGGCAATCAGCAGTATTTGAAGAATGGGAAAAGGCTGTTCTGCCTCACAAACAAGCAGGGAGTTGGGCAGGATGAGAAGCAGTTCAATGAAAATCAAAAAACAGCAGCTGAACTGAGCTGTAAACCCATTTTTCTATCCTTCTGCCTACTCTCAGCCATAAACCCCATCCCTTAGCTCCCCTTGGAGGGCAGTTATTCTATTTCCAGAACAGACAGCACAACACCAAGTTGCACCGAAACAGATGCATCATACCAACTAATGGTATACCTCACCAAAAATGACAACATTCTAAGTCACATAAATATTGCTTATTCGCGAAGTTGTGTAAATGCAAATCACTTATCACTTCCCTTTAAAGAAATCTACAGTAGCTAAGAAAAAGGTAGAAAAGTAATTTTAAGAATCCCTTATCCAGTGCAAAGATATATTAAAAAACCCAACCAAAAAAAAACCAAAAAAACCACCAAACCAACCAACCAAAAAACCCAAAAAAACCCCAAAAACCCCACAAAAAAAAAACAACCCAACAAAGACAAAAAAAACCCCCACACAAAAAACCCTCACCCAGATTGAGATCCTGCAGCACATGGATACCTGAGAAACGGAAAAGCACCAGTTGGCCTCTATATCCATTGGCATTGCACATATCACTGAGCCCTACCTAACATACAGTGTTATGTTTTGCAAAAAAGGGCCTAGAAGGGGAAGGGAAAAAACAGAGTTTAACAGGGAAGAAAGAACCCTGGGAAGAAAACTCAGTAGGAAAAATGTCTTGTTTTCTACAGACAACTATTGAATTCTGATTAAGATTGAAGATTACTGCTCCTAAGCTAAATTTTAATATACTAGCCTCATGTCAGTCATTTGAACTCAAAGCCCCATGCCATAGCTGTAAAAAACCTTCAACATCTGGAAACACTAAGATCAAGAATGATTACTCTAAAACAGATTACTGCAGCTATATCTAAATGTCAGAATAACAACACATAGAGAAGAAAAAGAAAATAGGAGCCATCATTTGCGTGCCACCTCCATCCCCTTCAAAAAGGCACTTTACAAAGGGTACACTTTGCATACATAATCACTACACAGAGAAACTTTAAACTGCCTCAACCCAGTCTCACATGGTTGGTCCCACAAGCTACCCAGGGCCAGATCTCACCAGCAACAGCACAAGAAAACACATTGCAAGTGTAGGCTGTCAATGAACAGTCCAGGCTGGTATTCCAAAGGCTTAGCTCTTCCTGACAAGTGAGAGCAAAGCAGCATTCCTTTCATCCATTTAGGATGTATCACTCACACAGTAATAATACTGCACAGTATTATCATAGAATCATAGAATGTTTTGGGGTTGGAAGAGACCTTAAAGACCATCTAGTTCCACCTACCACTGCCATAGGCAGGGACACCTCCCACTAGAACAAGTCCCTGTCCAACCTGGCTTTGAACATTGCCAGGGTTGTGGTATCCAGAACTTCTCAGGCTGACTTGTTCCAGTGTCTAACAATGTATCAAATAATATGGATAATATTATTAATAATGTCAGCACAGTCCCACTTGGAACACGTGCATGTTCACTGGCCACGATACACTTTAGGAGTGATGCCAGTTGTCAAAGAGCTTTCATTGCAGCCTATTGGAGGGCTATTAATGTATGTAAACAAACACCACAGTAAACACATGCTCTTACACTCCAGGAACGCAGCCTGACCTGTGCCTCACTGAACTCAGCTAAAGTCTTTCCTTCTACAAGATGTCCTTTAGAAATTCCTCCTTTCACCTGACTCTCTTCTACTCTCCTCACAGCAGGAGATCCACAAGAGATTCCCTTGCACACACCTGACAAGGTGATCTCTGGTGAAAAGCAACCTCCAACCACATAGCAATCACATCCAAAATACTTCTGTGTAAAAGGTTGTGCAAAAGCAAAGATCTTGGTGCTGAAGAGCAGATTTCACAAAACCCAGTGGGTCAGCCTACCTGTTTACTGCCATCATGAGAGAAAGGTCACACTGGCTGTAAGTGGACATACACTCTGCTGTTGACATTTGTGGGTTGCTGGAGGACAGTTGCCTCACCATTGTCTTCATTATGGGCTACAGGGGAGTCTCTGCTCCAGTGCATGGAACACCTCCCATTTTTCACTGTCCCTGCTCTCTGCAGGGCTGCTTCTCTCACATATTCTCACTCCTCTCTCCAGCTCCGGTTTATTCCACTGTTCCACCCCCCAGCACTTCCCCCTTAAAGCTGCTACCCCAGCAGTGCTACCACCATCACTGATGGGCTCAGACTTGGCCAGATGACATGGCCTCTGTCAGATTAAGGGGAAAGTTTTGTCAACTTCTTAAAGAAGCCACTTCTGTAGCATCTCAGCTCACAAAATCCAGCCATGCAAATCCAATACAACCCACTAAGCTGAAGTAGAGAGGTTGCTACATGAAGATCAGCAGGTAAAACACCTAAACTTCCAGACTGTAGTCACACTGGTTTGCCTTTCCACCTTTGGAAAGCAGAAAAGCATACAGATAGATAAACAAACTCAAGCACTTCTTTTTGGGCAAGCACAGGTAATAATTTTTCACTGAGTTTATATACACGCTCTGTCTACTGAAAAATAAAAACCAAAATCAATTTAAAACCAAGTTTCCATTTACTTAAGCATACAAATAAATTAGGGTAACACTTAAAATTGTGCTTTTAGTCTCAGAAACCAGCAGAGACATATGTTATACCAAACAACTTGTAAAAGTGCTTTAAGTACCTTATTGGTGTGCACCAGGATTAATGTTTACTCAGGCAAGTTAAACAGACATAAGCCAGGGTTAAACCAATTTTAGGAACTGGTATTCTGTTACAATCACTTTACAGTTAGCAAGTATGAGCTGAGTCACAGTAACTGAATCTGTTACTGTGTTGTCACTAAGAACTAAAACATAGTGTCTGCTATAGAACAATGAACTTAAGATGTAACTCTTTGCATGCATTTGATTTACATTCAGCATACAGAGCTTGGGAGTCAGCTGATGTATGCCAACCCACTTGTCTAAGTTTTGGCAAGTGCAAGCACCCTTCAAGCACAGAATGGCCTTAATTCTTGCACCCATTTGAACTAAAATAGTTTAATCTCAGGCCCATGTGACTCATGCCCAAAAGGAGATAATTCCCAGAATCAAGACTCCATTGCTTAGATGAGTGTCTGAATTTACCTGAAAGCAATATGAACATTGCACTACTCTTCATCTCCAGATTATGCAGGAATTTCTCCATTGTGATTAAGTACTGAACAAAAAAAGGACTTCTTTGATTCTTACTACTTACAAGAAGTACAAGAAGTGCTTTTAATCACAATGACTGAAAGGGTAGCAAAAAATACTCCCTCTTTTTTTCTTATAGTGCTGTGTACAACCCACTTTGATCATCCCTTGACTCATGGGGATGTCTCACAGAGCCACAGGTGAGAGAGTGAGTTTTTTAAATTACCAGAAAAACACAGCTGAAAAGTCATAAATTCGAGCAGGGGCTCATGTAGTATCTGTAGTTATACTTCACAGGTATTTGTATTCATTTAAACTGGTTAAATTTTCATATTACAATGTGTCCTTAATTTACTCAGAGGAAAACAGGCAAGGTCTAATCACCATTCAAAAAGTAAAGAGTAATGCTGTTCTCTAAAAGCAGAAGTCTATGTTTGGTGTTTTTGGAGAAAAATAAATAAAGAGCATGCTCATTAATCATTACTTCAGCATTCTCATCACATCTCCCACAGCTCATTTCTGTAACAACACTGGTACAAAACAAAGGACTACATATCAATAATAGAAAGCAAGGCAAGCATTTCATAGCCATTTGACCTACCACACCTTCTGGCATGTTTCTGAAGAACCAGAAAGTTATTACATTCTTTTGCTACTGTAATTGCCTAATCATCATGTGACTCCTGTTTCTAATAGAAAGAAGGCTTGACAGCAGCAGTGGTATGACTGTGTCCAGAATCGAACAGAAGAGACAGATTTCTTCCTTTTTGCACTCATATTTTGAAGACACCTTCTTCTTTATAAAGTAAATACAAGTATGGGGCAAGAGAAATAATCCATTGAAATTCTAAGAGAAGAGGAGAACCAAACCTGTGTCAGGGCCTCACAATGCATTTAAAAGGAGTTTGCAGGGGGGAAGATGGAAGCTGTACAGAACTGAACATCAGTTCAGCCAGGGGGATTAAAAACTGAAGTTTAGAGTATGATACACTCTAGTTTAGCAGGTGGTTCTTTAACTCAGAGAGTTTGTTAATGCAGCAACAATAGATACTGGATACTTCTGGATGTGAGGAGTGCTAAAAATTCAACACGTTTTAGACACTTCTTCCCAATCTTGTTATTTTAGGGGGAAAAATATCCTTCTCTGATACTTAAACTTTATTACTTACCGAAGGATCTACCTGATCATTTGTTACTCCCCTCAAGACAATCCTCAAGGGATGCTTCATGAAAGGTGCCAAGCAGAGCAGACTTTCCAAGTAGTAGCCAATACCACGGCTGGGGCTGCAGTCATGTTCCAATGAGCCCCCGTACAGAAGACCAGGCTGATAATACAAGGTAGTACCTGGGGAAGAGGCCAGGGGAGCAAACCAAAACGAGAGCACTGTAAAACACTGGCCATTAAAACAGCATAAAAATACTTTGCAACAACATATGAGGCAAATTGGAGGCAGAAAACTATATGAAAGGCTAAAGCACTTCCAGCACACTATTTACATGTCTGCAGCTAATAAATGGGTCAGCACATGAGTGGGTCTCTGTCCTGCACACCATTTTCCTCTTTTCCCCTCCAACTAAAACCAAGGATCTCTTAGCAATCTCCAAAATGCTAATACAAGCAATTATTATTTTCCACAGAAGCTAAACCTTCAGTCTATTACGAGTCATTGGAGTCTTGGCATATTGAATGCTAATTCATTTGCCTTACTTACCAACAAAAGATCATTAGAATCCTTAAAAAAAAAAAAAAAAAAGGAAAAACTCAGACCGGGTGAGGTTATCACATGGAATGCTTTTCACCCTAATCAAACTCATTTCTAAGCATGAATAAGCAAGCAGTCTGGCTAAGCAGTTTGCCTCTGTAGAGGGTAAATCTTCTTTTTCTTCTACAAAAATTGATTCTGGTGCAGAGGAACCTTTGTGCACTGTGAAATCCTGCATACCTAACAAAATACTAATTTTAGTTCTTGGGCAATAGAGCTTCCTTAGCTCCCTGCGTTATGGTGGAGCACTGACCTTCTTGCATGTGATCAATTACTGCAAAACTTGCCAACTTTGTTACTTCTGATCTGCTCAGTCAATCTTATCTGAACACCTACCTCTATCAAGACAAGACTTCCATTCTACTGCAAAAATTGATAAATCCTGGAGACCAAGCAGAAAAAAAACAGATCTCACCTGTTTGGTTTATTTCAATCCGTGAGCCATTGGTCACTTTGTCAATCAGGCGAATAAAACTTGCTTCAAAATCTGAGGAGTAGAGCACAGACAGAATTGTAAAGTTTCTTAGAAGTTCAACATCTTACTTGTACTTTTACCCTTTCCTGCTTTCCATGACAGTAAGGCTACTCTCACTCTTCAAGTTGTGGTATAATGCCACCACATGTGAAAAGGCAATTCTCTGTAAAAACAGAGATGTTAATGTGAGCCTCCACACTTACAGGCGTCTCAGATCAACCGAGATGCCCTCAGATGCGGCAGCTAGACTAGTCACACTCTTCTCCCTGGCACACAGCACATAATAAAAGTGGACATTTCTGACCACAGTGGCTTAAGGGATTGCTCTTGTCCAGGACAAAACTTTTGGCAATTTACATTTTGCTCAGTACAAAGCAGAACAGACAAATCATAGCAAACAGGATCCCATATACTGAAGCCTGACAAACTAATAACAGCTTCATATTATTCTCTGTGAAAGTGTTAGCTTAAAAGAAGGGGATATTTAGATGTGAAGTGCTGCTGCTGCTGATCTGTTCCACAAACAGAATTAGTTGCTTGCAGACTCTAAAATTTTCCATTTCCAAACCAGTTTTGGACATACTTAGGGCTCGAGAACCACAAGTCATCCCACTGCCTCTTTTCTTGCTTACTGTGTTCACTACAGTTCAAGTGGAAATGATTCCTCAGTTTCTCTCAATTGTGTGGACTCTCACCCAGAGACAATGAAAAGGACAAGCAGATTTAACCCAAAATAAAACCAAAAGCACCAACCAACCATAACCAAAAAGGAAATAACACAAAGCAAAACAAACAAAAACTCCAAAAAACAAACCAAACAAGCAAAACCAAAGCAAAAACACCTGAAAAAAGCCATCCCAGGAAGAATATGCTAGTATTCTAGTATCCCAATATGGTACAGGCTCAGTATCAAGAAGATAGGTGAATATATGCAGAATTCAAAACCCAGCTAGTTTTAAGAGCCAACAGCATCTGCACAATTGTTTGTAGGCTGCTGAAGTCCCTTATTAAGCAATAATCCTATGTTACTTCTTACACAGTAATCAGGTTTTTTCTTTTTACATGTGACTCTAGGATGTAACAGACATTTAAGCTACCTGCAGGATTTACAGTTTGTCAATATCTGCATAACATGATTTATGTCTCAGTCACACAATACTGGTTCTGTTCTCTTTCTAAACTAAGGCAGCTTATATGCTTACAAAGTTTATATCAAAGTTTATATTTATAAGCACTGGGGCGTCTTCCAGTGCAAGAGTGCATCCTTGTGAGCACACATTTCACTCTTGGAGAACACCAGTAGCAGAGTTTACAAAAGTTCCAGTCATGAAAAGGAAAAAAATAGCTGCATGTTGAATTATCAATACAAATCAGGATTTATTGTGATTATTTTTCTGTTACAGCCATAGTTTACACTTGAACCCATACTTAAAAAAAGTATATTCAAACACTCTTTAAAAAAACATGGCAATAGCTACAAACTTCACCGCCACCAAATGCTCCACAGTGATAATAAATACTTTGGATCATGGTAAATGTTAAGTCAAGCACACAAGAATGCTTTGGCATTTTTTGAGTAGAATTTTTAGCTACATGCCCAAGGCTCTTCAGGAGGCAGAGAAGCATCTACCCCTGTTCTGAACTTTATAACAGGGGGCCCTTGCCTAAAAAATAACTGAGCACCACAATAATGTTCCTTCCTCAAACTCTGTCCTATTGTTTTCTTATTTCAGTTCTGATGGAATTCATCCTGGGATGCCAAAGGCTTTGTACGAGAATGGTACTCCCTAAAATAATTTCCCTTAAACAAATATGCAGAATAAATTATTTCAAGTCTTTCACCTTTCCCGTTTCGGCAAACCCTGACAAAAATCAAAGCATAAAACTTGCCGATTAGAACTGCACGAACATGAGCTCCCACCAGCACAGGGAGCACACGGCGCTTGGGCACGGGCACGCGGCAACGACGGCCCAAGAGACAGGGAATTAATTCTGCCACCCCGACTGCGAAGATCCCCACCGTCACGGGAACGAGAACCAGCTCCGGGGCTGTGGAGAGGCTCCCGCGCACCAGCGAGCCGGTCGGAGCCCGGCCTGGCCGCTCCCACACCGCCTCCGCCAGGCGCGGAGCGAACGCGCTGCCCCGCGGGGCGGGAGGGGCGGCCGGGCAGCGCCAGCCCCGTCCCACCGGGGCGGCTCGGCAGGGCAGCACCAGCCCCGGCCGCTCGCACCGGCCCCGGACGGCCCGCTCTGAAGAAGTGACCCCGCGGAAGGCAGGGCTGCCGAGCCGAGCCGAGCCGAGCCGAACCGGCGGGACGCGGCTGGTACTGCCCCGTTCCCCATTCCGCCCCGCCGGGCAGCGAGGGAGGCTGATGGCAGGAGCCGGCGGGTGTGTGACAGCCTCCCTGCTCCGGCCCCCTTCTCCTCCTCCTCCCTAAGCCCCGCGATCCACGTGTGACAGCTACACCCGAGACCGGTGTGCGGGGCGCTCAGAGGAGAGCGCATCCACGGCAAGACACCGGGACTTCTCCTCGGTGGGGCCCGCCCAGATGGAGCCCGGCTGCCCCAGCTCCCAGTGGGGGTCTGCCCCTGCCCGGCAGCAGGTCCCGGGCACAGCTGGCGCCGGAGCTCCGCCGCCCCTCGACCTCCTGCCCCGCGGCCGCCGGTGCCGCCGCTCACCGCGGAGGCCGGGATCCTCCTCCTTGGCACGGATCTTGCGGATCTTCAGCGGGCGCCCGCTGAGCGTGGCCAGCACCAGGCGCTGCCGCAGGAAGTTGCATCCCGTGTAGCTGAGGCACTGCACCTCGCCCGCCACGCCGCCCGCCATCCCGCTGCCCACGTGGTTGGGAACAGGAAGCGCTGGGACACCGGCGAGGGCAAAGGGCAGGGGGCGGGCGGGCGCTGGGAGGGCTCGCACCGCCCCCGGGCTTCGCATCCGCCGGCAGCCGGCGGTGGGGCCGTGGCGAGACGACCGGGGTGAGTTTGTCGAGGCACGGGCGACAGCCCCTGCCGTATCCTCTGCTCTCCCAGCCTGCGTGTTTTCAGTTGAAACTTAAGGAGTGTGGAAGTGTGGGGAGATGCGTCTGACCGGAGCCCGGCCCGCTGCTCCTCCGGGTGGGCTCTCCTTCGGCGGGCGGGTAAGCACGGTCCGGAGCGGAACGTGGTGCCCGCACAAGGATTCTGCCCCCACATCCAAATGAGTCGATTTCTGGGACCATGTTCCCTAGGCAGTACTTTTCAGTAATTTACCCCTGTTTACCTTAAGGAAAACGGCGGAGGAATGAGTCCTGCTCGCGCTCCATGGGACAGCCTGTTTGCTTAATGATGCTGACAGGGTCCTGCTGTCCTTAAGGAGGAGACCGACTAAAGCTTTCAGTCTCTTTAAGAGAAACATCGATTACAGTGGAGGTGTGACAATGTCAATTGTTAGGCAACATTTACGTGCTCATGAAAAGAAGTTTATTGTAATTGAAGAGTCTAGTTGTAAGGGATGTACAAGAATCATTTAGCCCAGCTGCTTCACTTCAGGGCTGACCCAAAGGTAAAGCAGGCTCTTAAACAGGCTCTGTCCAAATGCCCCTTACACATTGATAGGCTCAGGGCATCATCGGGCTTGACCACCCTCTCTATAAAGAAATGCTTCCTAATGGTGAGTCTGAACCTTCCCTGGTGCAGCTTTGATCCATTCCCACACATTCTGTCACTGGATCCCAGGGAGAAGAGATCAGCACCTCCCTCTCCACTTCCCCTCCTCAGGAAGCTGCAGAGAGCAAGGAGGTTGCCCCCCAGCCTGCTTTCCTCCAGACTAGACAAACCCTAAGCCCTTAGCAGCTGCTCACAGCCATGGTGTCCAGTCCTTCCACCAGCTGTCTTGCCCTTCTCCAGACACCTTTGAGGACCTTCCCATGGTTCTGAAATGGTGGAGCCCAGAGCTGCACCCAGCACTCGAGGGGGAGCCCTGCCCTAACGCTGGACACAGAGGGACACATAGAGTGCCGAGGTTGGTGCACTCAGGGTGGGGTTTGCTGCATCAGGATGGCGTTTGCTGCACCCAGATGGGGTTTGCTGCCCTCCTGGCTGCCAGGGCACACTGCTGGCTGCCACAGAGCCTGCTGCCAACCAGCACCCTCAGAGCCCTCTCTGCAACCCCAGAGCTGCCCCTCTCCTGTTGTAGACTTGTGTCTGGCATTTCTCTATCCCAGGTGCAGAATCTGGCATTTGACTTGCCATCTTCATGGTGATTGCCCAGTGATCCTCTCTATCCAGATCCCTCTCTCTCTAAGGCTTCTTGGCCCTCAGGAGAGTCAGCAGCACCTTCCACTGTTGCACAGCAAAAGTCAAACAATTTTCCTTATAAATGATAACCACTTTTTATTTTACTAAATTGTTTTCCAGAGACTAAAACTTCTTTTTTTAAAGCCATGATAGGCGCACTTTACAGAAACTGAAGGAACTTAGCCACCTATTATTAGCTGCTTGCTGACAAAATGCATAAGGATATTTGTTGTGTTGATACACTGGTCTGCAAGCTTTGTATCACAGAAAAGCAGAATTATTTCGTTTGGAAGGGATCTTTAAAGATCATCTAGTCAACCTCATGCTATGGGCAGGGTCACCTTCCATGGACGAGGTTGCTAAAAGCCCCATCCAACCTTGTCTTCAACACTTACAGGTCCCCATTGGGCATACACAACTTCTGTTGGCAGCTTGTGCCAGTGCCTCATGACCTTCACTGTAGAAAAATTCTTCCTTATGTCCAGGGTAAATCTACCCTTTTTCAGTGTAAAACTCTTGCCCTTTGTCCTGTCACTATTTCTTGGTAAAAATTCTGTCTCTTTGATAAGCCCCGATAAATACTGAAAGACAGCAATGAGCTCACACCAAGGCCCTCTCTTCTCCAGGCTGACCAATCTGAGCTCTTTCAGCCTTTCCTCAAGAAGAAATTATTCCAGCCCACCAATCTTTTCTGTGGCCCACATCTAGACTAATTGAATGAGGTCCATGTTGCAGAACCACAGAGTCAGAATCACAGAATTGATTAGGCTGGAAAAGACCTTTGAGATCATCAAGTCCAACCTATGACCCAACATTACCTTGTTGCCTCGACCATGGCACTGAGTGCCACATCCACTCTTTTCTTAAAAATCTCCAGGCACAGTGACTTCACCACCTCCCTGGGCAGCATATTTGAATGCCCAATCAAGCATTCTGTGAAGAAATTCCTCCTAAATATTCCTTGGCACAGCTTAAGACTGTCCTCTTGTCTTTCCTGAACTGAGGACTCCACAGCTGGATGCAAAAATCCAAGTGGGTCTCACAAGCGTGGAGTAGAAAAGGGCAATCATGCCCCTTGACCAGCTGGACACACTGCTCTTTATGCTGGAGTCCAATTTTTCACATACCAGTATCCTAAATTTCTTCTCCACTTAATCCATTTACCACACAGACTGTACAGATGCTTTGGATTTCCCAGACCCAGGTGGTAAGACAAAAAATCAAATGCCAAAAAATTGTACATCTTAGTCAAAAGACCACATCTGTGTGGAAACAAAGCCTAAGAAATTTTTTTAAAGGAAGCATGTTGAGAAATTTGTGGAAAATGAGAATCAAAAAATGAGAGCAGTTAAACAGCATTTGTTCACATATGTGATGTCCAAGATTTCTGAGATATGGGCAGAAATATCTAGAGCTATTCATGGACAAACCTCACTGTAGTTTTAGAAAAAGAGAGTTCGGTCATGGACAGTTTTGTGGATTCAAAGAATTGTAGCTTTCTGTGTGTAAGAAATTAGTTGCCAGTTGCAGCTCTGATCTAGAATATAGCAGAAAATAGGGTGAGTCTTGGACAGCTGAAATTCTTTTTGTTATGCACTGAACAGAACTAAGAGAAAACTGAGTGTAAGGAAGGTAAAGAACACACATATCTTCTCAGAGCTAATAAATCTATGTCCAAACTTCACAAAAAATTCTTAAAACTTTCTTAATAAATCAGTGGTTTGTTTTCCTGTTTACAAACAATTAAATTCAGTCAACTCTCTGCATAATTCCTTTGGGTTTCAGAGTTTGGAGGGTATTTTGGAATTCCAGAACAAACAGTGCTAAACTTCATGATTAATGGAGAAGAAGTCTGGCACTTAACTGTTTCCTATTTTCAGGGAACAACTTTGTCATCTTTAATTTCCTTCATTCACAGGCCTTTTAGACGTAATTTCAGGGTAGTAGTTAAATAACAGTTTGCTGTGAGTTTGTGGATATGGAGTGTGACAGAGGACAAACACTCCCACTGAAATCTAGTGTCTTCTTCTGTGAAGACAGCTGTGTGAAAGGCTTTCAGGTGCTGCTGCTGGGACTATGTTTTTCACTGCATTGTCTGAACTCTGTATCTTAGATTTGCACTGCAAATATCTAGTCAACTGCGTCTACTTTGAATGAACTCTCTATCTTCCTTTGTGTACTCCCCTGCGCTCCCACACATGTATTTTTAGTTCTGTCCATCCTGTCCTTCTTCTGTGACTTCCAATTACTTGCTATCATCTGTTAACAATTTGCAAGTATCTGCTTTATGTCAAGGCACGGGAAAACAAAATTGGGAGGACAAAACAGAAAACAGTCTTCCCCAAGAATTATTCCATTGGCAGTCAGAATTTTCTCATGTAACTGAAATAAGATGCTTCTGTAAAAAATCACTGGCATATATACTCTCCTGGTATAATGTAAGTATCCCTGTAATGAAAGCTCTATCTGTCATAAAAATACCCAGTGACATAAAGGAGGGGTTTTGTTTCCCTGGGAATGCTATTAGCTTGTTGTGCTAGAAGTTCAAGGATTTCTGGAGTCAGGGAAATGATTTTTGTCAACTGCCTAGAGGTGGCACAGAGAGAGGGAGTGGCACCTCACAGATATATACATGTCATGATCTGGGCAGCTGTTACAATGTAACCTCAAAATGTAAAGCTATTACTGGCTTACCTCAGTACTCAGGGAAATGTTAGTTTTCATTTAATCAGTGGTTGGAGAACATGACAGTCTCCTGATAGTTTGATCACTTGAGATATATAATACAGAAAATGTCATTACAGAAACTTCCAAAAGAGATCTGCCTTTTGCTAATATATGAGGGCTCCAAGAATGCAAAAGGATAACACATTTCTCTGAATTTCTGTTAGTTTACATACCTCCCAAGAGGGAACACAGTCTCAGAAACACAGCTATGTAACTTCTCTTTTACTTGAACTTTATTTCTTTTCCTATTTATGTTTATTTTGAGGGATGTCTAAACAATCTGCGATGAGTGCTTTTTATAGGACTAAAATTATAAACTCCATATACAGCTCAAAAGAACCACTGAGACAACAGAAATGTTTTCCAAATAATTAAAATTCTGTATTTGATTATTATCAACTTGTGACTCCAACAAAATATTGCCATTGCTCGTAACAGGACATAAGCCTTTTATTGAATTTCCAAGGCATCAGAACAGAAGTTAGTCAGATTTGCATTGTCTGAATGTTCTTTGATCTGCTTGCAGCTTTGGTTTGCTTCCTTTAATTGTGAGAGCAGTTTTGACAGGTTTTCTATGGGTAATTTATTTTTCTTGTATTTTATGTTTCTTTTCTTGGTTGCAGACCTGGAGCTGGACACAACTGGTTTAGCAAAAAAGACAAAGAAACTATCTAATGTACGTGGAAGGTACTATATATAGTAAACTTAGATGTAATATGGAGCTGGAGATTAGTGAAGAAAAGGCAAGGTGTAAAATTGTGTTAGCAAGCATACAAAAACAACTCTGAGTGAACCCTACAGGGATGAGGAAGGAGCTGTTAACAGAAGCGTGGCATTCTTCCTGGTGAGGGAGTCCAGATGCTGATGACTCACCATAACCCCCCCATCCTCACTTGAGTGAGACCTTGGGACCCAGGCAAGAAGAGGAGAGAGGTAAATACAACACCAGGAGAATAGGAAAAACAAAGAAGAGTGTGTGGAGCAATTAATTATTTATATAATAAATAATAAAACTTAATAATGGTAATTAGCATAAACTTTCTGTAATAATGAATCATTCTTGAGTGATACTGTTAGACTTTCAATTATGTTAATAGATTTTTCACTTTATGAATAAGGTGTGCTTCAGCTTTGTCACAAATAAGGTTTTGAGTGTACACAAGTGTACAGGCAATGAATTTCTGTCTGAAGAATACACATTTCCTAGGAAACTCAGAGTTTTGGAACAACCCATACTATGTATAAGTGTCAATTTGCTATACTCAGCCATCTGGGAAGAATAATTCATTAGGCTTTTTAATAAAGGCAGGAGTGACACCACAAAAATGATAGTGATATCCCTCTTTGCAATAAAACACTATTTAAATCCAAATAAAGAATTACAGCTCTACATTTTTGGTGTGTAAAAAGTTATGTCTTTGCTACTTTAAAGGAAACAGTTCAACAGCAACATTTCATTCTATGTATTTCAACTTATATCTAATAAAAAAAAATCTTGTCCTCAAGTGTTCTTGATGGTATATATTTTTTGAAGGAGAATTTTCAGCTGTGTTGTGTATATATGTTAGCCTTCATTGGATAAGTAGTCAATGCATTATTAAAAAAAAAAACCAACATTATTAATGGGGCATCTTGTTTACAAATACAGCATCTCAGCCTTATCCAGGTTGGAATCCAGATCTGTAGCCCAATCTGTGGACCAAAGCAAGGTCAGACTGGGTTGCTCAGGGCTTTGTCCAGTGGGGTCTTAAAAACCTCAGTCTACTAATACTTAGATTCCACTACCTGACTTGCCAAGTCCTGCCACTCATCTTAGTAAGCAGCCTGTCCCTGCCTTCTCAGTAACCTTCTTGTGGGGGCTAGAAGGCTGCTGTTAGGTATTCCTGAACCCTTCTTGTCTCCAGTCTGAACAAGCATGGTTCCATCTGTCTGTGGCAGTGTCTCTTCTCCATCCCCTGATCACCTTGGCCGCTTCCTGCTAAACTTGCCCCAACTGATCAATGCCTGTTTTGTACTGGAGGGCCCAGTAATGGCCACAGCACACAGATGTGCCTAATACAAAGGAATATCTGTTTTCCCTGATGTCGTGGCTACCTTTCTGTTAATATGGCTCAGGATGTTAGTGGCTGCATGCTGGATGGTGCTTAGCTGGCTGTAGACCAGTTCTCCCCAGTCTTCTCCAGCAGAGTTTCTTCCTTGCTGGTCCGTCCCGAGCCTGCACTGTTGGAAGCAGTGTCCTGGATGCAGGACTTTGTACCTGCCTTTGCTGAATTTTGCCAGGGTCCTGCTTGGCCCCTTTCCCCATCTGTTCTTTCAGAACTCCACCTCCTGCCCCTAAGCCCAGGTGCTCAGGCCACATGGTTTGGTGTTACAGAATTGAGGAGGGTGCGCTCTTCTCTCTTCCAGTTATTCACAGACACTAGACAAAACAAGGTGCCAGGACAGGCCCTGGAAAAACATGCTTGTTAGCAGCTTTTGGTAGGGTACAAAACACTAAGCACTACACTTCTATTCCAGCCGGACTTATACCCATCAAATTGTCCACTCCTCCACAAAATTAGGTACAAAATTATTTGGCAGATCATGTCAGACGTCCTGCCCTGCCAATCAGTGTACTATGACTTCCTCCTCATGCAAGTAACCATTTCACTTTGATACAAATACAACACTTGGGAAGTAGTTACCCAACAGTACTAAAATAATTCTACATCAAACTCAGAAGAAAGGATTTATACCTCCAAGGAGCATACCTGACAGAAACTCTTTTGATGGTTTAAGGCTTAAAAAAACCTCTTCAAAGCATTTCTTATGTTTGAAAAAATTAAAGATTATTTAGTGGTAAGACCACTTGGATTTGTTTGAAATAAGATTTTCATTACTGTTCAGTCACCATGAGGGTTACTTCTATACTCACTAAGCAAGAGTTAAGTTTTTCATTTATACATGTGTGAAAAAGATTAATCAGAATATAGTGCAAGTTGTGTTGCATAAGCATTGACTACTCTGTTATGTGAATAATTAAGTCTGAATTAAGATGATGAAATATTATTTTCCAAAAATCATAATGAGGCTGCCAAAAAAAAACACTTGTGTGTCTTTAAGTACAGAATAGCTGTTTAAAACTTGTATACAAACTAGTGAATAATTGACCCCATTTCTTCCATTATTTCCTTTTCCACTTCTGAGTATGTCGCAACTACTCACAAAACTACCAGAGCGAGGTTTGGACTTCAGGAAAGATAGCGAAGGAAATGGGAACAATAATTTATTTTACTACCTATTTTCTGTAATCTAAGTACCTGCTTCTGTTCTGCAAAGGCCATAGGTTAGTAAGAACCTGTGTGTGTGGGAGAAGTGCCTTTCTGTTCTTTTCCACCCCTTCCTCATGAATCTGTTATGAAGTTCAGAGAGGTTTCTAAATAGTCTTTAACAAAGGGATTGTCTTAGCATTCCCATCTGGATTTCTGAGCTGCTCAATAGGCCTGTAGAGTGGCTGCACCTCAGGCTTCCTTTTTAACTGGCAAATAAATGATTGCTGCTTTTTATACATGGTGGCATTCGACATTAGAGTTAATGAGCTCTCTGATAAGTCTAGTTATTTGCTGGATATGTGTTTCATACAATACCTTCCATGTTCCATAATATTTGCTTTAGGAAGATTTATCAACACATTGTGGACTTCTGCCATTCAGAAGTCTCTGAAGTGTGGAGCTTAAAACGAACACTGTGGCTTCTAACATTTAAATGGCCTTTGCTGCCAAATTTTAAGACTATGGTAGTTTGGCAGACTGAAGTGTTGCCCTGGGAACGCTGCTAAAGCCCTGAATGTTTAACTCTTTCTGTCCTAATACAATCTGGAATAGAGGTATATCATATTCATTTGTGAAGGTTCACATTTTTCAGAGCAATGAGACTTATGCTCATAGTACGCTCTATGAGCTAAGCCAGTCCCTTCCAACTTAATTGTTAAGACAAGTAATTTTGTTGGCTGGGGAGTTTTGGGGCTATATTCCTATGTCTTTTCTGTTTCAAAGTACCAAAAAGCTGTTTGATTATTTTCTTATGGATTTTGTTTCAGTGTGAAACTATTAAAATGAAAAAATGTTTTAAATCATGAAGCTGAATTGTTGATGTTTTGACTCTAGCTCTGCTTTCTGGTCACTTTTTCACTGTGACCTTTCTGGTACAGTGATTGAGATCTAGCAGCATCTCCAGAACCTTTATCAGGAAGGCTCACTTCTGCTGTGGACATGACTGTGAACACTCAGGAAATGGGACAATCTAATGTTTTGGCCAAAATATTGTATTCTGATGTAGCTGAGGATGACCAAATGGTATCTGTGGGAAAGGACATCTTGGTGTTTGGAAGAACATTACTCAGAACAAGGACAACCTGCAGTTGTTCGCATTCAAGTACCACAAACAAAACTCAGGCACAGCTCATTAAAAACGCAACTGCCTGCTGCTAGACAGTGGGAGCTCATTTGCGAGAGACTAGCAAGAGCAAGGCATGGGGGTGAAGGAGCACAGCAAGGTCTGCCACAGCCTCAGGGCACCTGGGCAGGGCAGTGACAGCAATGGGACGTGTCAGCAGCCAAGCAGTCATTAGGTGACAGCCAGGTAAGGAGCCACGTCCTAGCTCAGTTTGGGAAACCCTCATGAAAATTCAGGGAAGTGGTGGAGTCACCATTTCTGGGGATATTTAAAAGGTGGGCTTGTGTCAGTTTGGGGCATGGTTAAGGGATGGATTAGTTGTTGCGCTCGGTGACTCTTGAGCTGTCTTCCAAAGCAAACGACTCTTTGATTCTGTGTCTGAGGGGAGCAGGGGCTGACGGCTTAGGGAGCAGCCAAAATGGGCCTCCTGGGCAGAGGGGTGCGGGGAAGCTGGTCATGGCCGGTTTGAACAGCGATGCCTAAATGCGGTCTGATGCAACGTTCTAAGATGACATTTGCTTCATTTATATTTTTATTATCGTTGCTAATTTTTCCCTCCCTACCCCCGTGCACTTACGTAAAGGATCTTTCCTTCCTGCCCGTGATTGACAGCTGCCGCGACTGCTCCCTGGAGGACCGGCCCGGGCTGGCCGGCGGCGCGAGGCGGCGCTCCCGGGAAGGCGGGGCTCCCGGGAAGGCGGGGCTCCCGGGAAGGCGGGGCTCCCGGGAAGGCGGGGCTCCCGGGAAGGCGGGGCTCCCGCCGCGCCCTGCGCGCCCGGGGCCGGAGGGCGCGGGCAGCATGGTGGTGCCGCCGCTGCTGCGCGCCGTCATCATGGGGCCGCCGGGCTCCGGGAAAGGCACCGTCTCCGCTCGGATTATCAAGCACTTCGGCGTGAAGCACCTCTCTAGCGGCGACCTGCTGAGGGACAACATGCAGAGGAAGACAGGTGGGCACGGGGACGCGGGTGGGGATGTGTGCGCGGCTGCGACGACCCCTCTTCCTGTTCCCGTCCCGCGAGAGCGGCCCCCACGCGGCGCTGCGCGAGCTCCCGCGTGACACGGCTCCGCTCCGGGAAGGGACACACGCTCACAACACACATTCCTGCCCCCAGCCCCGCTCCTTCCCTTCCTTCCCCTCCGAGAAGAGGGGGCGCTCCCTTAATGGGGTTCGTTGCTCCCCAATCCTACCTCCGTGTGCCTCCCCCTGACTTACACAGCTCTTCTGGAGGCCAGAGGCCACTGACGTGGGCCTCGTAATCTGCAGCCGTGGGTCCTCCATACGCTGTCACTTGCCAGCCTCTTCGTGAAGGTGGACGGGGTTATCCTGGTTTTGTTGTTTTGTTACAACTCATTGATTCCTTGTCTTGGTGCTTTTTGTAAGCACACAGTAGTTTTTGTACGTGTTTCTAATAGTTCTGATAGTTTCTCATTGTTTCTCCAGCTGGAAGAAAAAAAAGAGAAAATATTATAAAAGAGAAAAATATTCACGTCTTTTAACAGGCAGGGCAAGAGGAGGGGTTTTGAGCAATCAGACTTTTTTGGATATTCATTTGATGGCTAGAAGTAGGGGTACCTAGAATTGTTAACAGCTATTCCAAAATTACACCTAGTCCTGAGCTGGCAGGCATAATATAGTGGTGCTTTCAAAAAAAAAAAAAAGCAATGTGCAAAATTTTCAAACTGCATAGCTTTTAAAATTATTATTGTCTTATGAGTTCATATCATGCTTAGGTTTCAGCATGGTCTGTGTTTACATACAGTGATGCTTATATTTAGTAAATATACAAATTATTCTTGCTGAACAGTTCTAGCTTGGCCTCTGGCCTCAGTTGAGATACCACAGTCCCTCTCTCTGGTGGATTTCTGCAGTGATGGAAGGTTCCCTCCTGACTTAGACATCTGCTTTTCTATATGGTGGGTTGAAAAACCTTGTAAGAACCATCTCAGGCTGCACGTGATGAAGTGAGAGTATTATTATTTCCAGCAACTTCAAGCTGTAGAATATTCCATTCACTTGTAAGTATCACTGTAGTATTATGCCTAGGTAACCAACAGTCTTAGTTTTGGAATACGCATAAGCATGTTTGAAGGTGAAGCAGTTGTGATGTGATTCCCACATCTTCACACAAATTTTGTTTACTTGGTAAGGATAATGACTTCAGTAGAGTGACTGACTTTACTATAATTGATATTGTAGATACTGTAAGTTAAGAATTTGCTACGCTACCTGTGTAGACAGACCTGATCATATTCATGCTATTTCATTTAGTTACACAATCATATGTTTTTATTTAAAGAGGGTCACAAAACTGTTCTGTATGAACTTTCAGTGTAAGATGTGGTGGGTAGCCATTCCAAGCAAATGAAGGAATTGTTATTTTACCAAGTGTTTTGAGGTTTACAATGTTTACTAAATACTTTAGGTTTTGTGCAAGACCGTAGAGCACCAGAATCATGCAAAAGGTTGTGTGAGAAGAGGAAATTCCAAGTGGAAATGTCATATTGCTTGAATTGAGGTGAGAACCTGAAGTGATGGAGAGAGAAGTGATTATGCAAAGAATTCTAGGTAGGTTGGACGGAAGAATGACTGTGAAGGAGAGCAAACGTGAAATGGAAGTTTAGCAGGTACATAAAAATCCAGAATATAAGGAAAGAAGTCAGTGGACAGCTTAAGAGGTGAAGTTTGCTCTAAATTAGCTACAGCAGAATTTAACAGAATCTGCTACAGAGTTTCTCATTCACTAGTAAACCCAGAGGGAACTCTATTGCAATTTCATTGAAAGTCAGTCACTAGTTTCAGAAATGGTTCCCAGAGGGCTGAGATGAAGTATGAGGTAGGAGGACTAGGTAGTACACTAAAAATAGGAGGAGAAGAACTGAGAGGCAACTCAGACAGCCTAGACAAAATCAGTCAAGGCAACGATCCATGAGTTTAATGACAACAGAAGAATCCTGCAATTTTCAGTTCCTTGGGAAATGAGTAACACTAAGATGGGCAGTTAAAGCCCCTGGAAAATTAGATATAGCTAACAGTAGTTGTATGGTGCAAATTTTCTATTTGTGGTCTTGTGAAAATGGACATGGTTGAAAAGTCCTGTTGAAGATGAGTGTCCTTATCATTCTGCAGTTATTATCATGTTCTTCTGGACAGCGGAGAGTCTGTGACCACCTCTCTAATGCTAAGGTAATTATTGTCTGGTTATGGCTAGAGCTTGATTGCTGTAATGTGGTTAGAACGTGCTGATCCTTTGTAAAACCATGGAACATGGATACCTGTCATCACCTACAAAGGAAAGAAACCTTTGTTACCTGTAATTCTGTAGATTGCCATGCCTTTAGTGGTTTCAGACCCAATCTGAAAAAACCCAGAACTAAATAAAACCTACAAAACCCCATGAAACCCCATTCCCAACAGCAGAGTGGGGAAAAAAAAAAAAAAGCTCTGACCTAGTGTATCAACTTTTTGTCCTAATATATGACTATTGGGTATGGTTCTGCCTATTTTTTTCCCCTCTGTAACAGTGACTTTCTAAATTACTGAGTTCTGTAGAGGGGGGCATAAGGCAGCATTTTTCAAGCTCTGTTGGTCTAATTATAGCTTGCCATATGCTAAACCTTTCTAGGCCCAAAAAGTCATGAATCTTTCTAAAGTAAGTTAGCATTGTTCCCTGTGAACGTTGTCTTGCAAATATTTTTAGATCATTGTGGCTAGAGCAATGCTGCAACATAAATCAGTAGCAGAGCCAAACATCAACTACACATTAAACTATGTAGACATGATTTATTCCTTCTCCCAACCCACTTTTTCAGTGTACATGGTTCAAAGCACACTAGAATAATAAAAAAAGATCTGAAGAAGGGAGGTAGGGAAGAGACACTTTGTACACAGAGAGACAGTCACCTTCTTTCTATTTTGTGATGTGCTGAAGGACTCAGGCACCACAGTCTGACTCTTTTCCATATAGTGAGCATGTTTTGAAGTCTGGCCAAGGTGCACAGTGCCTGTTTCTAAATGGTCTTTGTAATTTTCAAAGCCCGACTACAGATGTGAACAGGCAGTAAGGGGAAATTGTTCTTTTATTACAATGTTTTTTTCTCATCACCAAAGCTACTATTTGCACTATTTGAGGGCATGTACTGCTTTTCAGTTGCCTCATCTGAAGAAGGGCCTCTGTCCTGTTGCACATACCACACACTGAGTGATGGGACTGGCATTTGTCATTGCTTTCTGCTGAAAGTGGTCATACCTGTGTGGGTATGTCAGTCCATCCCATTTTCTCTTTAGTTTTCTGTAACTAAAGAGATTTCTAGATCTTAACTGGTTGCAAGTAAAGGCTTCTGCAGACCCACAGTAAAACCAGTCTAGCTGCAATTCTGGATTACTTAACATAACTGGGTAATTGTTTTTTAAATGAAAGATATGCAAACTTTGTGCCTAGGATACAATGCAGGCAACTGAATTTCTTCCTGGCTATACCCATGATTTGGGTGAACTACAGCATGCTACTGCCTGCCATGTAGGAGCATAGTGTCATAGCTGGAACGACAATGCATGGATGGAATTTTAGTGAGCCAGTGGGATAAATGACTGGTACTAAAGGTTAGTCAGTTCCATGGGAAAATAGTAGTGTGTGTGTACTCCCATAAATAGTGTACAATATCTATAAACCCTCTTGCAACTCTAGTAATCATAAAAATACATACTTCTCAAGCGTGTCCCACTGCAGACTGCCAAAGGCATTTATGTTTGTAGTGAAGCCTAAGTGTAAGTTAACAACTAGCCACTGAGCTAAGGAAATAAACTTTGTTTTCAGGAAGTCTGAGGGCTGATATCTTAATAAATTTGTATCCTTTCTATTTCTTATTTTGAAGACTCTTAGCTAATGGCCTGTTCTCGTTTTAGTTTTTGGAACTTCATATTTCAAGTACATTCTAGTAAATTTATTCAGAGGGTGTGAGGATAGAAGTGTGTTTTGCCCTACAGGTGGATCTGATTAATCTGATACATATTTGTATGGTCAGATCCTCCTTGATCATCTGGATATTTTTTAGTTTTGGCAAGCATGCTGTCTGTCTTGTTTACAACTTTTCTTCATCATCCTGATCAAAACTATTTTTTTGCAGGCTTGTGGGCTTTTTCTCATTTTCTGGACGTCAGAGATAGTATAATGCAACTTTCACTTTTGCAGAAGTGGGAATCCTTGCCAAGTCCTACATTGACCAAGGGCAGCTTATTCCGGATCACATCATGACACAACTAATGCTGAATGAGATAAAAGGTCTAGACCAGTACAACTGGCTATTGGATGGTAAGTTATCATGTTGGATATCACTATATATGGAGAGAAAATCTGCTCTGGAAAACCTGGGACTGCCTTGGTTGCTGGTAGCCAGCTTGTGAAACTTTCAGCAGATAGTCTGCCCCAATTTCTTTGGCTGACAAATGCTTTGGGTGTACCCTGTCTTCAGAACATTACAGAGATATTTAACTCATGTTAAAAAGGGAGTTCAACACCCAGAAAAAATTTAAAACTGGCAATTCTAATATTTTTTATGATCATTCATATGGTATTTCCCCATTAAAATAGGCATTGAGAAGTTTACTTTTTAAAGTATTTTCTTATTAAAGTTCTTGGGGTATGGAAAACTTTTGAAGGATGAGGCTTTGGAATTATTTAAATAGCAGGGTAGGAATGCGATACAGTACCAAGGTAAGTGTGGAAAAGTACTGCAGCAGTGTGGAGTGTAATCAAAAGTATTGCTCAATTGCCCTAAGAGGTCTCCTTCATTTGCTGTTTGGTTCTGTTCTCCAGAGTGAACTGTTTTGCAGTTCTGCAGTGTAAGCTCATTCCTTCAGCATTCTTGCTAGAGAGAAAATGCATTTGCTGCTGTCTTCACGAACTGGATGACTCTTGTTATTTCAGCCCATGGAAGTACAGTTGGATGCCCAGCACAAAAATAGTGTCTAGGCTGGATGCATGTTTTTTCAGACTCCAGTCACAACCTATCTCAGTAGATAAAACAAAAAAGTTATTGGTGTGTCTTTCTATTTGGAGGGAGTGAAAAATCCACAGTGGCCTCTGTGTTATTAATATTATAGTTATATTTATATAGTTGTTCTTACGTACAGTGATATGTTCTGGTGGCTTTAGTCACAGTTGGGTTCCTTCCTGAGAGAAAGGTTTTATTCCCACAGTGAACAGTACAATGAAACCTAAACCATAAAGCAAATAATGGCAGATATTGGGTTTTTTTCCTTTAGTTTCAGGTCCCATGTACATACAGTTCCAGTCTTGTGGATCTGGATGTGTAGCAGTATAGCTGTGCCCACTGGCAGCTCTCAGCAGGATTGTGTCAAGACCATAAGAAAATAAATCAATTTCTGCTGCATGTTAATGTGCTGCTGCCTTTAAAGTTTTGCAGCAGAAATTTTGTCTGCATCAGCATCTGTAATGCGACCCACTGAATTACACTAGGGATAGGTCTGGCATAATGGGCTTCACAGGAACAACACTGTTCTGTTGAAATATATTAACCCAAAATCTTAAGTTTGGTAACTGCAATGCAGAACAAACAGATGGGGTCAGTTAGCTCAAACCAGAGCTGCTGAGCCACTTGCACATTCACTTAGCCAAACGCCCATCTACTGCCTTACAATAGGTTGGTGACTTCTAGTCACCAACCAGATGTAGCAGTCTGAGTTGTATGTGTCTGTGGGTATAATCCGTTTAGATTTATAAACTGTATAATCCAGAGCATTTTCTCTGTGTTCCTGGAATCTTCATAATTCATCACCTCTTGCAGATCTTTTTCTGTATAGAGAGAACACTATGTAGAAGATGTCAGTTCAATTTCAATGAAATGCTTTTCTAAAGGCAGTTCAATTTGTTGAGGAATTTTCTCATTACTCAATACCAAGCAAACTCACTTTCCAGCTCCATAATTTAGAAACATGGTGGCTGCTAATAGTAAGAAAGAACAGCAATTCTTGAACAGTGTTCAACAGCAGTGTTGAAGACCTAGCTCTTCCTCTGCTCTTAACATTTAGAAGATAATGTGAATATGTGAGAAATAGGATGAGGGCAACTTATGACTGTGATGCAAGCCAGGTGCAAGAGACTTAAAGCACAAGCAAAGACTTGGTCTGACTTAATCAACTCCGTCTTTTTGTAATGTTTTTCCTTACTCATGCAAAGGACAGATCAACATTATGCAAGAATTTCTTAAGTTTGTGCCTATCGGTACTTACCTTTATGAAGAAGTTTACTTGTACAGTATGATGCAAGCTACTGAAGAAAATGAGACTATTCTAGAGCTTTTTGAGGAAAGGAACTGTTCCATGTTCTGTAGTAGCTTTGACCACTGAAGGTCTTGTGCTCAATTTTTCATTTCAAATTCTTTGTGGAGACATGTGCTTTCTTGTTCTTTGTTCCCAGTGCACCTCTCCTAAGTTCCACTAGATTATCAAATAATTTAAGGCATAGAATAGGGAGCCACAGAGTTCACAGGGCAAAATGCAGCGTCTTTGAAGAGACAGGTTCCTGATCAGCCTGAGTGTTCTCACAGTTATCACATCTGAGGGCAGTTTGATACACTAAAACTTTTAGAAACCGTCTAAATCCTGTACTGCCTCTGGTAAACAGATTTGGCTTACTGCAACTGAATAAAACAGGTTTGTAATGGCCATCACCTTAAGACAGATTTACACAGAAGTGAAAGTAAGATATATCACAAATGTTTCCAGTTTGTTCTGAGGGAAACTTTTCATTGGAGTTTTTATTATTCCAAATGCGTATACAGTGTTTTTATTCAGTGTAGTGGTATGTGGTGTACATATGAATATAGGGTCTTTTTGCATTTATTTGTTGCACTTTTGGGAAGATGATTAGCTGAAATGAAGAAATAAAAGCTGGGAGGCATTTAAAAAGTTAAAATGCATTGACACACTGAAAAATATTGGAAAATCTGATGTCTCTTCCATCTTTATAGAACATGACAATGCTTTTTGGTTTTTTTTGCTGTGTAACAATTATTTTCTTTAATGACTCAATCCAGGTAATCTTTGCTACAACTCTGCTTCCAGAATCTTATCAAGTTGTTTCCTTTAAAAAGGTTTCCCCAGAACCGTTGCTCAGGCAGAAGCCCTCGATAAAGAATGTCACATAGACACTGTGATTGACCTAGACGTGCCATTTGAGACCATAAAGTGTCGGCTTACAGCACGCTGGATCCACCCTGCCAGTGGCAGAGTCTACAATCTTGAATTCAGTCCTCCCAAAGTGCAGGTAAGCAATATCCATTGGTGTTGGCACTAAATAAGTACTGCACTGCGTTTGCTAGCTGCAGTAAAATATTGTTTGCATAACGTGTTTCAAAACACAGCAGCTCAGAACAAAAATGCTCATCTCATTTCTTGGGAGCACAGAATCTTTCTGGTAACACCATGCTGGTATGAGGGTATGTCAGTGACCTGGTAGAACCTCAGGCTGTCGGACAATGTATTTGTCTCTGCAGAGCAGAACACCAAGGTGTTTTGTAAGCGCTTGTTAAAGCTGTTCACTGATCTGGAATACTGTCTGCCTTGTGCACTGGCACACAATCTGGGCATGGTCATAGCCTGTTTGCAGCCTGTACAGTCCAAAATGTAGATTTCTTTTGCTTCCTCCAGAAGAGTCATGCTTTATATGTAGGAAACACCAAGCCACCAGTCAGAGGAATCCACTTAATGCTTTCCCGGTGTTTATATTTAACCAGGATGGGTATTTTCAGGGGAAGAACTGCTGTACTGCAAAACTGGATGTAGAAACTTTCAAGTCAGGGAACCTTTTCAACAGATTAATTTTCAACAGATTTTTATGACTTGAGATATCCTAAAGAAGAGCTTGAAGATAAAGAGTGTAAATTGTTACCTTAAGTTTTTTCAAGAACTATTTGCTTTAGTGCAACTCAGCTAAAGCTGTATTTCATCCTTAACTCTAAATAACTTAGCTGTTGTGGCATCACAACCGCCTGGAAGCTCTATTAATTTACATCAGAAGCACAGCAGGCCCTATAGTTTTTGTATTTCAGTGTTGCAGGAAAACAGGCCAGCTTGAAATACCAGGTAAGCAATGGAAGTGAGCAACTGAAAATATTGCCTTTGTTTTGTTTAAAACAAGGTATTTAAAATCATGGTTATTTTCAATTGCAGGAGAGCACAGGCAAGATGGAACAGAGAATTCTCAGACTTAGCAGAGTAGGCTTTAGCTGCCAGAGCTTTGCTATTTAGGATCTGTCTTACCTTTCACTAATTAACAGACTTACCACAACACAGTGGACTGCAATACTTAAATTGAAAACATGGAGTAGAAGTAAACAGGGGAAATACGGTTGTCTCTGTTCTCTTAATAGACCTGCAAAATGCTTACTTACTTAGTAGGAACAGAAGTTCACACATTAGGTCCCTATCTCTGTAGGGAAAGCTTCAGCTGACTCTTGTGTCATTTTTTGTACAGCTGTTGTTAAATGATAACTCTTCCATTTTGCAATTTAAAATCAAAGGGCCATTAACTCCTTTGCCCATTTTAGTATTGTCAAATGAAGGTCCAACTGGTCTCTTATTTCCTGTTATACAGGAATGTATTACCAACAGTATTGTTTTTGCTTGCACATGAAGGTTTTGTCTTCATATTCCCCATATTCTATGAATGTTCCAGAGGACAAATTAGTCAAGTTACTCTGATTTAATATTCATTGGCAATACTGAGAAAATATTTTTACCTGACAGACTGTTTTACTGGAAAGTCAACAAGTTATATTCCAGACAAGAACACAGGCAGCAGCCTCTCTTTATCAGCAGAAATTTACACCCTGATTAAGGGGAAATTGATCATAATTTAAATAGAAAATTATATAAAGCATGCTTAAAGAGAAGAAATACTCTGGTATTTGCTTTTAACCATGATTAGGGCATTGACGACATCACTGGAGAGCCACTTGTTCAGCGTGATGATGACAAGCCAGAGACTGTCAGCAAGAGGCTTCAGGCTTATGATGCACAAACAAAACCTGTTCTAGAATATTATCGGTAAGTAGTAAAATCTGTTCCTCCACATTGCAAAATCTGACTGGGCATCAGCATAGCGAGGAACAGATCTCACTGCTACAGAATATATCATACCACAACAGTGAGTGTGGTGTGAGTAGCTGTATAGCTTTCAGCAGAATGAGTATGATTTTCCAGGGTTCCATGAGACCTTCTGGAACCTGTGTGGTAAAATAACTTGTCACTGCAGCCGGCCACATTTAGCTTCATAAAGAATGCTATGCATTATTCAATACATCATAGTACTGTTATGAGCAACAACAGCTCTGGTGGGTGGAGGTAACAGTTCATTTTTTTTGCAAGAATTTACAATATTTTTTTTCTGGATGTATAAGTAGAAACTCTTCTAGTAAGTGCAAGGGGTCAAGAAGCGATACACAAATAGAGAAACTGTTAATGAGGATTTAAATGTGGCTGTTCTAAGAACAGGACTGTGACTGGACCCATCTAGCAAGACTCTTTAGGAGTAAGTAGCTAATTCAGATTGTCATTTGCATTGTGGAGTGAAAATAAATTACTAGTTCTTTTAAGAGTCAAAATTACACACAATGTTTCTCTTAATGTAAAGCTGCAAGCATCATATGCTAATATATAGATATGTAGTAGGTCACCGTGTAGAGCTCTAGTTTTACCTTGCTAGATTCTGAGAACATCAATGATTGTCCTTTCTGTATGTCCATATTCACCACCCTTCACTGTACTCTTTCAGGACTGTTGAGCAGAAATCAATGTCTAGCCTGCATTTCCAATGCTACAGCTTTCTTGGTGTTACATCACATGCATATTTTCACACTCCTGCTGGGTTAACCTTCAAGTGAGGTGGAGATTTTGGAACAATTAAACAATTTGACATTCTGTAATGCTTTCTTCTTTTTCTTCCTTAGGAAAAAAGGGTTATTGAAATCCTTTTCTGGAACAGAAACGAATAAGATCTGGCCACATATCTATGCTTTCCTTCAAACCAAGTTGCCAGATGTGAGCCAGAAAGATGCTGCCAACCCCAGGTGAAAATAGATCAAACTTCTGCTCATCTGTTACAGCTCACTCCTAATTATATGAGATTCTGCAATCAAGGATTTGTCCAAGTAGTCTACCAGACTTATCAATAAATTAAGTCTAATGCTGTTCTTAACTTACATTATGGTGAAATTTTGTTGCCTGTGGTTACCACTTCAATGCTGTATTTTTTATATTAAATATACCTAATTTTAAAAATACAGTAACTGTCTTTAACAAAAGCCAGTACTCTTGTGTCTCTTATTTGGAACACATTTGCAATATTGACTGATGAAGGAAATACATTTCAGAGTACAGCTTAAGCACATTGACTGATTTACTCAGTCAGTAAATGAAGCAATGACAAGAATATGCAAGCACACTCCTTGAACAGGAGCCTAGCTGGAGCTAGCCAGAAGCTGTGAACAACGACTGCTGGTCTGCAAATAGCCATTTCAGACCAGAGCTCGTGTGTATGGAAGCTGATCTTATGGAAAGGTTAGCTTCTTGTTTGCTTACACAGATGTGACTTGATTTTGCCCACCATAAATTACATTTAGTACCAGGGCAAATTATCTAAGCAAGTATTATGTTTATATTTCTGCCCTCAGAGCAACTATTTTGCAGGCATGGGAGTTTCAATGATGTGTAACACATTTGGTAAAGCCTCTGTCTTTGTGGGTCCCTGCAAGACTTTATCAGTAAAAAGATAGTAGATTAGTAGATACTGAACAGATTGTGTAATCTGGTAAACCTGTAACTAGATGATCTTGACCAGTGAATGTCTTTTCTACTATCTTTGAAAACAAGTGCTCACTGATGCCAGTGACATGGTTTCCAGAGGTTAAAATATTAACTGTGGCATATTACTATAGCAATTTTTATTGTAGCAACTGGACTGGTTTTCATGAGGTTCTCGTCTCTGACCAGCTCTTGTGTTAATTCACTAGATGACTGGAAATACAAACTTCCACAGTCCACACTTTTTAACAGTCCAGGGACTGCAGACACTGCTATTTTTCAGTGACTCCTCCCAGCCTTTTTTTAATGCTCAGAGTGGAAGTTTCAAGACTCAGCAAAATCTGAGGAACAAACAACTCTGTATAGGTAATGTCTGAAGTAGCTGTGTCCTAGTAATGCAGGTTCCAATCTCCTTTAGCAGTGACTACAAACAGCTACAGAGCTGGGGTGTTGACACATCTTGGACTGCATCTGCATACCCAATTTTAGCATTATGAATATTGAGACACATTTGAGTCTAAAAAGAGATAGTCGTTGTAGAATTTGTGAAGTTTTCCCCGTACTATAAATGAACAATATAAGCAGCATCTCCCACTACAATCAGTTTTCCTTTCATTTAAAGAAAGCTTGCCAAGAAGGTTGACCATTTCCTCTTGAGGAAATGCCTATATATTACAGCGAGAAACTCTGATTAGCTGCTTGTATTGTTATGTTTTGATTTCAATAAAAAAGTCAAATTTTTTCTTACCAGCATACATAAATTTCAGTGAATCAGGAAGAGGGGGAAGGAATCTCCTTATTATTTGACATTTCTGCACCATCCAGTTTTACCCCCTTAGAAATTTAAAAAATAACTTCTACTGTGTAATAGGTCATTAGAGCAATGGCTCCACTGCTAAGGGTAGCAAGTCACTGTGCTACATTGCCTTACTACCCTTGCATACAACATTCAGTTAAAAAACAACCTGAAGTTACTTGTTTTCCTTTAAGTTTCCCTTAATATTTAGCTAATTATTAAGGAGGAGGCAGTGTTTACTTGCCCTTTCCTAGAGTATCTGTCAAATTTGTAGAAAATTTGTATCTGTAGAAATTTGTATTTTTTACCTCAAATTTGCATGTGGGACAGAACTGCTCCTTGCTCTTTTATCTTCAGTCTGTTTGCAAAAGAAGGCTAGAGAGCAGAAATCATATGGAAAGCTATCTCTATGAGTGTATCTGCTATTGCATTGGTACTAATACTCTGCAGTATACTCTATACAGAATATACTCAGTGTATGCTTCAGATTTAGACTTTTGCGTATCTTGGCTGTAGGCAAAACTGAAAGTTAGTGAATTCTATTTCACTAATCTAAGAATCATAGAATCATTAAGGTCGGAAAAGACTTCCAAAATCATTGAGTTCAACCTCCGACTGTCACAAGCCTGCCAAATAACTCACAGCACTGGGTGTAAATTCTTAAACACTTCCACAGATGGTGACTCCCAACACTTCCATGGGCAGTCCATTCCAATGCTTGACAATCCTTTCAGTGAAGGAAGTCCTGATGTTCAACCCGAACTGCCCTGGGCACGGCTTGAGGCCATTTCCTCTTGTCCTGTTACTTCTTAGCTGGGAGAAGAGACCAAACCCCACCCAGCTATACCCTTCTTTCAGGCAGTTTTAGAGAGTGATAATGTGCCCCTGAGCCTCCTCTTCTCCAGCCTGAACAACCCCAACTCAGTCAGCTGCTCCTCACAGCACTTGTGCTTCAGACTCTTCACCAATGCCACTGCCCCTCTGGACATGCTCCAGTAGCTCCTTGTCTTTCTGGAGTAAAGGGTCCAAAACACAGGATTTGAAGTGCAGCCTCACCTGTGCTGAGTATACTGGGACAATCCCTGCCCTGCTCCTGCTGGCCACTCTATTGCTGGCCCAGGCCACGATGCCATTGGCCTTCTTGGCCACCTGGGCTCACAGTCAGTCACTGTCCCCAGCAGCACCAGGTCCTTTTCCTGTGGGCAGCTTTGCAGCCACTCTGCCTCAGCCTGTGGCTATTCTGCATGAATTAAAAACTGGAGGTAGGCTATGACCACTGAACTTTTGAAATCAGTATGCCTTCCAAACCTACGTAAAATCAGAACAATTCAGTAATGGATGAAGAATATGTATGGATACCATTACCTGAGGCATATGCTGTCTTTGCTAGTCTTCCAATTACAGTATACATTTTTATAGACAGACCTGCTGTAATAGCAGCAAGTTAGAAAAGCACAGTGGAGTTTTGGAGTGCAAGATTCTGTTGTCTAGAAAATGTACTTGGATTTCCACCTTCTTAAACAAGAGGTTTTTAATGCTTTTCCACTTAATGTTTGAGTTGACAAAGTCAGAAACCCACTTTGGTTGAGTAGCATATGAAGTAACTCTCAAACAATGTATGACACCTCATCCTATGTGACTTATAACAAAGCTTTTTGTTTGAACTGAGGTCTTAGCCTAACCCTTGTATAAGTTCCCTTCCTCAATTACTTCAACCGTAACAAGACTTGGTTTTAAAAAAATAATCTGAAGTTAGCCTGATGAACAAGAAGAGAATCAGACTCCCAGAAATCATACAACCCAGCACTCATTTGTAGACAAGTGTTGCTTATGTTTTAGGATTAAACCAAGTTATGTTTAATGAAAGTACAATATAACATTTAAATCCCCTTAGAAGAGGTAGTAAGCCAGTGTTTTAATCTAATCCATTCAGATCAGAAATACTGATACCAGATACTGATTTATTGCTATTAGTGATAACCAAATTTGAGAGCTTATACTGTCAGCAAAATAGCATGAATACAGTTGCAATCTCCAATATTCAGAGTAAAACATATCCACATCTGTAGTAAGACAATAGCAGATTCTACCAAGAATCTGCTGCTTCTTGTAAACATTGTATTTGTGCAGATGTTTAATCTCTAAAGTCATGAAAGGCAAGGTTAGTAGCAGAAAACACATCCAGTTTCACATTCGGCAATATAAGAACCCTGCTCTTCAAGGACAACTAAAAACCTAGCAGCACATTTCAAACATATTACTTTTTTTTTCTTAATTACCCACCCTTCAAAGTCCCTCCCCCCCCAAATCAAATAAAACCAACAAAAATCTGACACGAAAAATAAAGTGCAGTACCCAGAAAAATAAGTGTCAAGAAAATAGCCATGTTTGCTTCTTTGGAAAAAAAAAAAAAAAAAGGAAAAAAAAAAAAGGGACATAAAAGAGTACTTGGGCTCAGTCTTAAAAGCACTATAATGTGTCCATCATTTTGGATTCTTCTTCATCTCTTTGTATCACAGAGTTGAAACTGCAGACGTCTGTGTTTGTGGAACCCTGCAGATCTCCTGTGTTCTGCAACAGATGAAAAACTGACAGTTTAATGCTCTGTAATTGTATAGATGGAGGGAGAAACAGAGACAGAGAAACAAAAACTGTTTGCATTGGCCATCTCATGATGAGACAAATTTACAATAGAAAGGAAGTAAGGTCTGAAAACATTGTCAACCAGTATTATGTCACTGTGTCAAGAATTTTTAAAATTTGCTAGGATAGCTTGTATTTGGTATTAATATTTCTAGCACCTAACTGCACATTTATATAAAATTCAGCTGTTTGATCTACCTCTGAGAGGTACTTTAATCAAATTATTTCAAACAAGTACTTTCAATTGTGACTCCTTTCCTAATACATAATTTTTGACAATCTTTTAAGTTATTTCTTCATTCTAGAATGTGACCATAACTGGAACTGCAAAAATGACCTAATTATACTCTTTTATCACAAAGGGAGACTTGCCTTAGACTTGACTTCTCTTGCCCAGAGAAGCTGTTGGGTCCCTGGCAGTGTTCAAGGCCAGGCTGGATGGGGCTGCCTGGCCTATGAAAGGTGTCCCTGCCACAGCAAGGAGTTTGGAACTAGATGATCTTTAGGCTCCACTCCAACTCAAACCGTTCTATGATTCTGTAACTTACTTGACTGATCCCATGATTTTACACTGCTTGTGGTGATGACTGGGAATACAGTTCTAGGATCTGATCAGTTTTATCATGCAGTGTTTATTTTAGGCATGAAAATGTAAAGGCAATGAACAAACATATACTTTTGACCTCATGCTGATGCTGTGAATTCCAGAAAGTAAAAATAAAGCCCATAAATGCCTTGTGTATTAATAACATTGCATGATATATCCCAAGCATTAGCAATTCAAGAAATAATCCTCTTTATATCTCAGAAAGGTACAGCTTCTCTAGGTAGGACCTAGTCCTGCTTTACTTAAATTAAATTTTGGAAATAATAAACCTACCTGTAAAAAAGATGTCCACTCTCCCACACAACCAGGACTGACATTGAGATCATGGAGTAACATAGTTTGAAAGCCATGTGATTGTGACCAGATTCTCACTCTCGTCTTGAATGCCTCAAGCTCATTTTTAAAGGCCTCAAAGTAGCCTTCTCCTGTCTGCAAAGAGAAAAATTAAGTATTTGTTCTGTAGCCACATATACTTTTGAATTGTAAGCTTACACAGTGCTGAAAATAGTCCATGCAGTAATGACATGTTCTACCTTTTGGGGAATAACAACTATGAACAATTCAGGAATGTTAGTCAATTTAAAATTACGTTTCACGCAGATTTCTTTTTAAGACAATCTGTAGCATTTATATGCATAAGTAGCTGATTTATCTGAGAACATGTAAACTAAATCTAATTTTAGCCTCCAAGTTATTCCAGCTCAGAAGGTATTCTTACAACAGGTGCTTGTTGTAGCCCTTTGGTCAAAAGTAAAGGACAAACTAACTCACATTTTAACTACTCTTGTTTAGGCAATATTAAGATCCATTAGAGTTTTGAACAACTGAACACGGTCTATAGCAAATCACAGTTTCAGTTTTCCCACTTTTTTCCTGCAAAGCTCTGGACTGTCCTATTTCAATCATGAGAAAGGGACACTATTTATATAGCTGCCTCACTATATGGGGCAGATGAAATGGAAAAGTTTTGACAATATGTAACTACACTTTGAAAACATTCATTAGTCAATAGTCAGACCAGTTTAAGATCAGTTGGTGTTTGCTGTTGTTATGTAGTTATTACTTTTCTGTAACACACCTGCTCTCCCCTGCTGCATCTTGCTTTCCACCTACAACAAGCAAAATCCACTAAGCTTTCATTTGCAGAACCGGAATTATAACAAAGTATTCTGTCTAGAAAATAACTGCTATCGAAACACTTTCCCATAAGCCTAAATCAGTCAAAAAATTGTTTAGCCTCACATGGTTGGGAAGAAATCCTTTCTAAAACACTTGTATCGTTTCAAGAGTTTCTCACATTATTACTCAAGTTGACTTACTTTGGCTTTTTGGAAAAAGAGACGAAAACATCCTCTTGGATCCACATTGCAGCTTCTGGCAATTTCTATTATAAACTGCATTACAACTGCTTGATGTGCTACTTGCTCCATCAGAGCTCTTTTCTGAAAAAAAAAGAAAAAAAAAGTTAAAGTGTTGATTTAAAGAAATTTCCTGAGATTTCTAAAATTCAGCAGAATTTCCTTTTGTTCCAGCTCCTAAGCAGATGTGAACTTGCTTACAGAAGCAAGAGGACTCATAATTAACTATATCTAGACATAAATGTGACAGTGCACTATCAATAAAGTAGAAAGGGCTGGAAGAACAGTTAAACAGCTAATGAAGTTGGTCACCTTTCTACTGCAAATGGGACAATGTGTGCTTCCAAAGATTTAAACATCTTCATACCTGTTCAGCTTCTAGATGAAAACACCACAACATGAGATACCTAGATGTTTCTTCACATACAAGGTATGGGTGATCAGACAAAAACCTTTGACTATCATCCCATCTGCTCAGCATGCCTAATAAGAGAAACACAGTTAAGATATTCTAAAGAGATAAATGATTTAATGCAGCAAGGAAGTTACCTGCATTGATACCAAGTATACATAACTTGGCAATTTACTAACCTCAGAATAACAGCATGCAGCTAAATTTGGGGGTTTTATTTATACATCTAACCAATGCTGAAAGAGCATTACTAGAAGGCATAATTAGTCTTTGAAGATACTAAAAGTAGATTATAACAGTCATGCACTTCTAGTAATGCTAATAATTTATTTTTAATCAGTTATCATTAGCTAACAAAGTGACGTAGGCATCTATTTGTTACAACACCAAATAGCTTAAAAAGTTTATGGACAGAGATTTATATGAAGTGATTCTAACAAACACAAATCCTCTAAATGTTTGCAAATAAAAATGCAAAGAACAGAATCTGTAATCTGTCAAAAATTAAAGTGCTTCTAATATATAGTTTGCTAGATTTTTAGAAAATTCAAATTACTTCTAGAAACAGCTTGACCTCAAAAAACAAACCCACGCCAGTATTGGAAAGTTAATCAGAACTTCGAATGGTGGTATCATGTCAGTACCTTCACGTAACAAGCTGAATGTAAAAATCAGAACTCAATACTCATAGCACTTCTTAAAGTCGTCCTTCAAGTATCCCTGACTGTCACTATTGGCAACAGGTATCAGATGTACAGCTTCATCCATCCATCAGCACATATTATAACTGGGCTAAAGATAATTCAATGGTAATGACCTGAGCTAATCTTAATTCTAGCAAACAAACGCTGAAAGAGAGAAAGCAACTGGTTGTATTTCTTTTGATTGTTTTCAAGTTATTCTGTGTAAGTTCTTCATTGCTTTGAAGCCAGAGGATCCAGAAGCAGGACTCATGCAATATAGCAAAGTCCACACTGCCCCTTGGCAGCAGCTAGCATGGAACAAGTGACTTCAGAAAGAATTAATGTACTGTGGCTTTCTACAATAGACTTATGTATCACAAATTAAAATAATAACATGGCTTTGAACTTAGGAAATATAAAAAAAATTACCTTCTGTAATAAGGTTGCTTCTTTAACAGTTTAATTTGAATTTAGACAAAGAGTAATTTTGCCCAACTCTCAGCTAGGAAGCCTACAAGATAGCCTCTTCTTTTTTTACCTGCTGAAATGCACAGCAGAAGAGATGTTTTCTAACTCCAATATCATTACACTGAACAGTTAAGATACTTAAGAGAGCCTGTGCCTATTACTGCTATTTGCATACTCTTGACAGTGTTGTGCCTTGAAGCATTTGCTAAGGCTAACAGGGCTCAAGGCCCTTTCTTTAAAACAGCTTTAAACCCCTTAGAAGAAAAAAAAAAAAAAAATTAGTAAAAACAACTTTGTAAGAACAGCTGAATTCTGCCAATCTAGTCTTATTCTTGATTGTTCCAGAATTCTAAATATGGCTATACTATACTATAGCGCAAAACCAGCCTGAAAGGCAAGCACTTCAGAGAACCATACAAATTTCAGATTACGTTACAAGATCAGCTTTGCGCTCAATCGGGTTTTAACAATTTTGACAGGGCTGAAGTGACATCTAGTGGATAACTAAGTATAGTTTTAAACACACAATTCTGAGCATACATACTCTTGGTGTAGGTATTAAAAAACATGTCCATTTAATCAGCCATTACCCTTATACATTAACAGGTGACAGAAAATCATTTAATAAAACATTTAACTTAATTTCCTTTAAAAAAGGAGAGAGCCATGGATGACCCATGCACTTTTATATACATGACTTATGTGCCCAGGAATGTCCCTGCCTTTTCCCACTGGTGTGGAATACCCCTGGAGTCCTGATAAAATAAAACTGAACAGCCTGTCGTTTAGGTCTTTTTGTTAGGCAATTTATTAGCATTCATTCTGTACAAGAAGGAGCACACCAACACAAATTCTGTAGGAACCACAAGATATTGGAAAAACAGACTCACCGAAATGTCTAATCTTTTGTTCATGTTTTTGCATAAGTGGTTCAGACACGGCCTCATCTTCAATTTCTTTTCTTTTTTGATTAATAAAACTCTGAGGAAGAGAAAGATTGTACTATCACATAAACTCCACACATACTGTTTAGTGATATAAAGGAGTTATTATACATTAATATGTTACTATTTAAATGGCCATGTTCTAATTTTAGAGTTGTATCATATTTGAGGAAGTTTTTTTTTAGAAAGCATCTTACCTAGTAACAGAATTTCAAAGTTTCCTTATAGTTTCTGAAAAACTTCTGTTTTCATATAGGAACTTACTGATTTGTTAGTCATGAGAATCATACACATTGCAGCCTGGATCAGATAAATGAAATTAGGAGATGTGATAGTGATGCCAAACTGATTTTTGCTTTTATATATCCTTCATGTCTGTTTGTAGCTCTGTGGCCTATTATTGTATAACTATATAGATTCATAGCTAGAATTTTACCCACTTGTTAGCAAGAAAGACAAAACATATTCCTAAAAGCTCAATCATCATCTAGTTTCTTTTGAGACCAAGGACAACACTCTCTCATAAAGAACTAGAGAGGAACGGGGGCTTCAGAACAAAAGTCAAACCAAGAGGGGGAATTACCTCAACATCTGTGTTTCTAATTGGGCATTCTTGTCAACTATGTTAATTTGCTACACTTACAAAACTGTAGTTGCTCTATGTCACACATACACCTTCAGTGCATTTTTCAGCATGTATTTCAGTGTGTTGTGCACCTGAAGGGACCCTTCATAAAAAGCTAACTACATTTATCACCTGACTGTGTCTGGCTTGTGACTTTATGGCTCTGTAAAAGGCAATAATAGCTGTTGAAATTAAACTGTGAAATCAATGATGAGATCCTACTATTAAAAAAAAAATTCATGCTAAATAATTTGTATTACAGTAGACAGTATTAGAGACTAACAGTTTCATATTCTGGGTTGGATGGGACATTTAAAGACCACAGAGTTTCAACCCCCCCTGCCCAGGCAAGAACATCTTCCACTGGATTAGGTTGCTCCAAGACCAGTCCAATTTGATCTCTGTTACTTCTAGGGATTGGGTATCTACAGCTTCCCCAGGCAACCTGTTCCAGTGTCTTGATACCCTAATATAAAAACATCTCCATCCAATAAATCCAAAAACATCCAATCTAAACCTACCATCTTTCAGTTTAAAGCCATTCCCTCTTGTCCTGTCAGCACAGGCTGTGATAAAAAGTGTTTTTCTCCATCTTTCCTATAAGGCCCTTTTAAGTACAGGCAGGTCCCATGAAGGTAAATTAGGGCTCCCTGGAGCCTGCTCTTCTTCAAGCTGAAGAACCCCAGCTCTCCCAGCCTTTCCTCATAGGAAAGATGCTCCAGCCCTCTTATCAGCTCTGCAACACTCCTTTGGAGCTGCTCCAACAGGAGTACTTCTTGTACTGGGGACCCCAGAACTGAGTGCATTACTTTGGGGTTGAGTCTCAGCAGAGCAGAGGGGCAGAATCCCCTCCCTGGCCCTGCTGCCCACACTGCTCTGGATGCAGCCCAGGACACGTTTGGCTCTCTGGGCTGGGAGTGCCCATGGCTGGGTCAGCTCCAGCCTCTCGCCCAGCAGCACCTGAGCCCTTCTCAGCAGGGCTGCTCTGGTCTATTCATCCCCAGCCTGTGTTGGTATCAGGGGATTGCTCTGACCCAGATGTGGCACCTTACACTTGGCCTTGTTAAAACACATGAGATCCCAATGGACCCACTTTTCCATCTTGTCCAGGTCCCTCTGGAAGGCTTCCTTCAGGTCTGATAACTGCAGCAGTCGGCTTGATATCACCTGCAAACTTGCTGAGAGTGCACTCAATCTGTCTCTTTAATTTTAATTAAGACATCAAATAACACTGGTCCCACTACAGACCCCTGAAGGACACCACTGGCCCCTGGTGTCCATTGGGACTCTGAGCCATTGGCCACTACCCTTTGCATGCCACCCCCCAACCACTTTCTTATCCACCTAACAGTTCACTCATCAAATCCATCTCTCTCCAGTTTAAGAGAGAAGGATGCTGTAGGAGACCACATAAAAGGCTTTGCGGAAGTCCAGATAAATGACAACTCTAACCCTTCACCCATCCACTGATGCCATCACCTCGTCATAGGTCGCTGATAAGGCCATGGAATTGGTCTGGCAGGACCTGCCCTTGGTGCAGCTGTGCTGAATGTCCCAAATCACCTCCCCATCCTACAAGTGCCTGAGCACAGCTCCTAGAAAGGTCTATTCCATGACCTTTCCAGGCACAGAGATGAGTGACATATTGTGTTTCTGTGCTGTACAAGACACAGAAGACACTCAGAGACTAGTAACAACTGGAATGAACAAAAGAGGCTAGCACTTGCTTCCATACACAATGATGTAGGTCATACCTTATTAAAAACTTCTTTACTAACAGGATCTGTGTTCCATAGATTCTGTCGTTCCCTCTGGTTTAGTGCTTCTTCTTTTCTTCTCCACTCTTCCTCTCTCCATCTCAACTCAGCAGCTTCAGTCCTTGCTTGAGCAGACTCCTGATCACAGGATTCTGAATTATGCAGTGCTAAACTACCAAATTTTTGCTGGGCTTCTGCTAGGTTCCATGTGCATTCTACAGAGTGCTTCACAAACTCTCTTTCTTTTTGGCAGGCTAATTCAATCCCTTGGCTGTACGTCTGTGAAGAAAATCAGACATGCTATTTATGGAGAGAAAATTGGTGATTTACAGTTTCTACAGAAGCAGACTGGCCCAAATCCCAAAGCTAATAATAATGTACCTGGAAGGCACCTTAGATATGCAGCATTATAATAGCAGAAGTGATGAAGCATGGCAATGTACAGCTATGTCTTCTAGAAAGAGATTTCCAATTCAAGTCACTTTAACTATTAAGCGTATTTGCAAAATCATGGATCACTTGCTATCAGTAACAGTCTCTAGATTGTAAAAATACTTTTGACACAGCTGAAATCCCTCTGGCTATCTTAGGACTAGAACATTAGCAGCAGTCAAGTGTGAGAATACTCTGAATATACACTTCTGATAAGAAAGTATTGGGCTTATGTTGTCAGATCACAACAGTAAAGTAACTGCTGCTGTCTGCATTTCAGTATCAGTACCTAAACAAATGGCCAACATCTTCTCTTGAACTGACACAAGAAGTGGTATTTAAGTTATAAAGTGGCCAAGGCCCAGCACAAACACATGGTCCTTTAGGTTAAATCTGTTGAGGATGTCACCACTCACAGATAGGAGAGAAAAGGGACATCTTAAGCAACCCTATTTATATTATTTCCACGTGTGTGCTCAGAATTCACACTCAGTAATATGACAAGCCTTTCCACCAAGAGTGAAGAAAAATGCATCCATTTGCATTAGTTTCTCAGCCTTCCACTGCCACGTTATGAAATCTGCAGTGCTGATAGCCTCTGGCAGGGGCACACGAAGGACAATTTGAGAAAGACTATCTGAAAGAAACTTTAACGCAAGTAAACCAAGCTTATTGTCCCAACTTTGAGAATTACAGCGTTTTTATTTCTGCAGTAACAAGAAGAAAATTTCACCGTTGGAAAAGTAATGTAATGGCAGCTGCTTGCGAGACCACACAGAATTCCTTACAACGCGTTTACTTACAACGCGTTTATAAATCGCCGCCTCGCCCCGGCCAACAGAGAAACACACCGCCTACCTATCGGCTCCTTGGGCATGGGGACGCTGGGATAACTCCAAGCCAGCTCCTTCCGCATCGCCTGCCCGCGGTGGAGCTCTTAACCCCGGCGGGCCGCCGGACCCCATCTGTCCCCGCCGGGCGCTCCCGCACGGCCCCGTCCCGACACGGTGACCCCGCTCCCGCCGCCGCCCCCCGCGGGCCGCGCCGCCCGGCACCGACCCACACCGCGCCCCGGGCGCCAGAGGCGGCGCGAGGGGCCGGGGCTGCGGGGCCGGGGCACGGGCGTACCTGCACCTCCGGCAAGCGCTGGCGGAAGGCGGCAGCCTGTGCCCTCTCCTCGTCCTCCTCCTCCGGGGCGCCGCCGTCCCGGGAGCGCGGCAGCCACAGCGCCATGCCCAGTGCCGTCCCGGCGGCGCGACCCGTTCGCCGGAACTGGGGTAGCGACACTTCCGCCGATAGGAGCGCGGCCGGGAGCACCCGCCCTCGGCGCGTCGGGCGGAGTGAATGGCGGGCGCGCCTCAGGGGCGGCAATGAAGGCAGCGGGCTGGGCGGGGCGGGCCCTGCCGCCGCTCCGCCTCCGCCCCGGCTCCTCCCCTGAGCCGGCCCTGCCGGGGCCCGTGCCCGTGCATCCTGCGCTCCTCACTATCTCTGGCCCTGCCGCTGCCCCTGTCCTGTGCTGTCGCCTGCCCCCATGCCTTTCCCTGACCCTGCCTTTTCCGTGCCGCTGGAAGGCCGCTCACCTTCCTGCAGGCTGCCGCACGGCGCTGGCAAACTACCACGTGTGTGTGTGTTCGTGTATGTACGGCCCTTCAGGCCTAAGAGCTGCTGGGGTGCTGTCTAGGGTGTTTTAATAGCTTGGCTCTCGTCTGGGAATAATGAGGCCATACCTTTGTGGTAGCACCCCTGTAAAGATTAAAATGTGCCCTCGTTGTAGCCTTACTTTTTTGCCCATGGATTGGCTATTTAGCTCCAAACAGGAGGCGCTGGCTGATTCTTTGGGAGTCGCAGGTGTAAAGTCTGCAAGAAAAATATGCCAGGAAAACTTTAGATTAAATGGAAAGGTAGGTGACCTGTTGCTGTGTGTTGTTTATATAACAAAGGGATTACTGCTGTGGCCAAAGGGATAATACTAGCATGTTGGTCACAATAGTTCTCATCAGATAAAAGAGAAAAAAAATTATGTTTTTTAAGTCAATCATTCTCTTGTAATCAAATGTTTCTGTATAATGCTAAGGCCTATGAAATTTAGTCCCTGTTACATGGGATTATAAAAGCCAAAAATACAAAATGAGAGAACTCCCAGTGATAGCTCTTAACCTGACATTTTGAGATTATCAGTAATAAAGGGCAGTGAGTCTGTTCTGAGATAGGGTCCTGCAGACTTGGACAGGTGTATATGCCTAAGACTGGACCAAGGAGTTTCATGTGGAAGTACCCTTTTCTTAAGGTTACATTTCCTGGTGTGTTTCTGGCTGAGAAACCAACATATATCTCAGTTTGTGCATCCTGGGTCAACACAAAAAGGCAGAATGAATGCCTTCCTCCTGTTACTCCTCTCTTGTCTCATAAGGTGTGCTTTGAAAGGGTGTCTTTGGTTTGTTTTATGTCTTGGGATAGAAACTGATGTCTCAAGTCTTGTATAAGATGTAATTCAGGTGTAATCTTATTTCTCTTTACAAGTGATAAGTTATTCTTGTTTCACATGTATCTCAGCATGATAAGATGCATTATTAGGCCCATTCCTCAAACAGAACTTCACATTTCTTTAAGATTTTATGATCTGGAACTTTGACATAAGTGGTAGTGAGAGGTCATCTCCCACACGGACAGTTCTTACCTAGTATCAGTAATATTAATAGTCTATATGAGGGTAATTTTAAGTTATTTTGATTCAGATATGATTAATCTTGGATCAGTATGACACCCTAATTATAATATGGCTATCATCTGTTAAGGTTTCTGTCTGTATAGAAGACATATGATGTAAATGAAGATGTAAATAAATGATGGACGAGTGGTTTTGAAGCCCTTTTACATGTTACTCAAACACCTGGAAGTGATGATGAGAGGAGTCTCAGTGTTTTTCCTGTACCTTACTGTATGTTAATGTATGTTAATGTATGTTAATGTATGTTGTGTTTGAAAATTGCTTTTTAAAAAATGGTGTAAGACAGCATGCCTGTGTCAACTGACAAGCAAGCCCATGCTGAAGCCATTTGCAAAACGGGTATCCAAGAAATTTAGAACAGTATATTTCTTATCTATTTGATCCAAAGTCTTCTTGATTGTTTTTCAAATTACTCTTACTACCTGTGTGTTTCTCTAAAATTGTTTACATCTGGCAAGAGGCTTTTCTTTGAGTAGCATGATGGCTCTTCCTTTCTGCTCTGGTTGTCCTTGACACAAGTGGAAAACTACACATGGAAACTAAAGTATTATTAAGGCTTTTTCCATGTCTCAAGGCAAACGCAACTCTGAACACATGACTCTTCGATCACTATGTAATAAAACCCCACAAATATGTTATGACCAGAAGTGAGAAATATAACCCACTTCCAAAGAGTAATTTCTTATATGTTTACTTAATGCTAAGTAATTCACATGAAGTACGTCTTGTTAGATAAGTTCATCGTTTGTCTTACCACACATTAGGGATTTTTTGTGTCTGTGACCTTCATTAGTAGGTATTGACAAACAGTGAAGTAGCACATTTTCCTGGAGGAAACATGGCTTAGGCCAGCCCTCTTTAAAAAAGACTATTGCTAAAATATTGTCTGAAAGCACTGCTGTCATTTGAAGGACGTTGATGCCTTAAAAAAAAAAAAGTAGCAAATATTGATAAAACAAGAGGAATGCAGCTGAATGCCTCTTCTCTAAATAGGTAGAATGTCTGACATTTATGCCAAATAAAATCAGTGGTAAAATTCCAATTTACTTCAAAGGGGTCAGAATTTCACTCCAAGGTGTGCAAAAAGTATTTGAAAAAGCCATTATTCTTTGTAGCAAAATCGACAAGAGCTAAAGGCAGACAAATGCGTTTGAATTTGTTTCTTAAAAGGTATTTCACAGGTGATATCTTAACTGATTTTGTTTTTATAAGATTTTCAAACACGCTCTACGTAATACACAGAAACATAAAGGAAAGCTTCCTTCTATTTTCTCATTTGCCCATAATCTCTGTGGAAAATTACTGTCCTTTAAGGTATTTAGAGTTACGGCTTTTAATCTTTTAATTTGGGATGTATCCTATAGCATTGGTCAAGAATTCAAGTGTTTTTCAAACATGTATTTCCTAATTGTACTTGTGGGTCTTCTGGTTTACAGTTCAAAGAATTGGACTCAGCATACTGTAAACCTGGTATTTTTTCCCTACAAATTACAGGCTGTTCTGAAGTTGATGCCTATATGAATGAATATGAAATTTCAGCTTTGTTTTTTCCAAAACATTGCATAATTTTAAAAATGTAAATCACATCCCAAAGTACACAGTAATATGTAATATTAGCTAAGTTATTTGCTCAGTGGCGGCTTGGCAAAAAATACAATAATTATTTTGAATAGGTATTAAAGTGTTCCTGTGAATGCTGGTTTGTTTAATGAGTGTTATAATTAATTTATTTGCTTCTTACTGTTTTCCCAAAGATGTTTGAAGGTGCTTTAGATCCTGCTGCAGAAAGCAAAATACAGAAAGTAAGTATGGTATTTGAATAGGTGATAATTAAAATTGAAAAAGTAGATCCATGTATTCACATAATGAGTCTGTTTCTCTGACTGCCTTTCCAGAGTACATGACCTGGTACACGTTGGTCCACCTTTATGCTGCACTTATGTGAGCCATTTGCATGTCAGCCTTTATAAGCAAGCTCCCCTCAAATCAATTACAGGATTTTTCCATTCTTACAACAGGCTGTGTTCTGACACCTAGTGTGACACACTAGGCTAACCTGACACTGCTTTTTATTTTTCTATCAGTAATTTGGCATTTTGAAGTCTCTGACAAGTCATGTCACATTTAATGGTTAGGGAGTCTTTTAAAAGCCAAAATCTATTGCTTGTAGGGGGATGTGGGAGAGAAAAAAAATCACCTATAACAGTGGCCGGTCTGCATTCTGTTTTGCCATTGCTAGTAAACTTTCAATAGTCAGTCATACCTAGAGAAGCACGTTTTGTTAAAAATGAAAATTTTGTTTTCATCCCTTAGCTTTAATTCACTTGGAATTTCTTAATCTTAAAAGGGTTTCAGGTTTTTGTCCTTCTGGAGCAAGCCATTCCTGTAAAATCAACAGAAGCTCAAGCAGAAGCCACTGACTGTCCCATTGTCCTGATGGATTGTAAATCCATCAGGTGTCAACCACAGAGACTGTCCTGATATTACTTTTATGTATGTATCTGTTCTAGTAATAATGATAATAATGTTAGAACTAATACTTAAGGAACCAAAATAGAAAGTAGCTCTATCTCCTTTCCCATCTATCATTTATCCATTCTTCTCATTCCTTTGCTGATCTTCCTCCATTCCTTTCTGTATGGGCAGCTTTTGATTACAGTCCCAGGTGTATTCTATCATTCAGCCACCCTGTTGTAGTTTATTTTTCATCTCTCACTTAATGTAATAAAATTTGAATTAACTCACCTTGTGTCTTCAGGTAATAAGAAAGTAAATATTTTTTTCACAGGCAAGTAAATATTTTTCTATGTGCTAATTGATTTGATACTGTAAAGGATATTAGTATCAAGATACTAAGGATACTAGTGTTATGTCATGCCCCCTAGCTTTGTTTCCCTTTTAAATTTAAGGACCTCCTCCACTGGTATTTCTTTCTACTCCATAATTTCTTGTATATTGTGGGTACACACTTGAATAGAAAAAAAATTATTTTCTGATTTGAATAATTTTAATTATTTGTTAGGATCAGTCATGATGCTTTAGTTTCTTCATACTAATTTTCTTGTTTCTGATAGCAGTGTAGTTTTCTGGTTACATTCAACCAGAACACAAAAATGTAAAGTTCATCTTGTTAGATAGTCATCTTCAGGCTTCATATTGTGTGTTCTTGTAAGATGGGAAAAAGCCAAATGGACACAGGGTGGCAGATGAGTGCTATTGTTGAGCTCACTGATTATAGAGCATTCATGTATGTTCTAAAATTGCAGGCTATTTACTCAAATCAGTTATTTTTCTGTTACAGCAAATTAAAAATATACTCTATGTTCCTCGTGTAACAAACGTTTCTTGTGCAGTTGGTATTTATTTTTCAAGATATTTTGCTTCAGATAGTCATCTTTCCCTTTCCTTTTTGCTTTATGCTTTGAAGAGTTGCTGATATATTAAAGGGTAATTTGTGATATTATTTCTTGTTCAAAAACATCAGTGATACTGGAGAAGGATGCAAAAATTAAATTGAGATAATCTATATTATGTCTGTATAAAAGCCTAAACACGGGGAAAAAGAGTGGGTGATCTGGCTTAGTACAGAGAGTGCTCATTTTCTTGTATGATTACATTA